ACGGCCAATAGCCCCCGGCGCCCCCCCCCCCCCCCCCCCCCCACAACCTAACACCAGACAGAGTACGAACTCATCAAGAACGTAGACATGAACCATATCCGCTAATAACATTCAAAAAGTCATCTATATACATACGTATTTATTACCAACATATCTGGAGTACATACAGATGTCGGAGTTGAGGTATTCCAGAACTAAAACCCACCTTTATGAAGAACCATTTTCGGGCTCTTCGGGAATTGTCGCGAACTTGTTGAGCACTTGTTTCAACACGGGCCGTCGGATAGGTTTACTCCTTTCGTTAGCATAGTGTCAGGTAGGTAGATGCAATGTATTCACTTACCTAATGAACATGTCCATTCCGGAGTCCATGCAGTCCTTGATATTGCTATCTTCCGCAAAAGCGCTCAGAGCGACGATAGGCGCAGAGTATCCCATCTGGCGAATGAGTCGGGTACTCTGGAGGCCATCGAGAATAGGCATCTGTGCGTGTTAGCTGGTGTACACGGATCAGGAATGTGGGGCGGGGAGGAGGAGGAGGAGAGCTTTACCTGGATATCCATGAAGATAAGGTCAAACATCTTGCCCTCTTCCATGTTTGCCTTCACTGTGTCGTATGCCTCCTGGCCATCCTTGACCACCGTCACGTCGTAGACTTCTTCGAGGGCAAGCATCCTGACGGGGTCAGCAGTTGAATTGGTTTAGTTAAGGAGGTAAGGGGCGTACCGAAGCGCCACTTCTTGGTTAATCTTGTTGTCCTCAGCCATCAGAACGCGAATCTTCTTCAGCCCTTCGTCATTCGCAACGGAGTTCCGATTCGGCTGTGATTTCTTCGGTGGGGACGAAACGGGTGATGATGGGACGCTAGGTGCGAAGAAAGGTTGACTCAGTCCAATTAGACGTGGTTGTACGTCCGGCTTTTCATAGCCAGCGCCAAGAGGTTCCTTATTACCAACAGAGCTATGATTCGACGGTGTTTGGGCGATGTTGGAGAATTCTTCCAGTGACAAAGACAAAACACTTGGTGTCCTCGAGCCGGTAACGCTGGAGCTTCGTGTGCTTGCCGTCGCCTCCTTGACGAACTTCAACGGGACCTTCAAGGTAAACAAGGAACCACTTCCTTCGTCGCTGTCAAGTAAGATAATGCCCCCCATAAGTCGGGACAGCTGGGCGCAGATACTCAATCCAAGACCAGTTCCTCCGTATTTGCGGTTCAACCCTAGGTCTCCCTGTACGAAGGGATCAAATACACGCCTCTGCATGTGAGCTGGGATACCTGGTCCATTGTCCTCGACCTCAAACTGGAATACGAGCGTCCGCAGGTCCGACGGTGCAGGTGTTCGCACCTCTACTTGGCGGTCTAGGAGATTTGAAGCGTCCAGCGGCGATGCGCTTGCGCGTGAGGGAGTCCGGGAACGGAGCTTTGAGCTCCCCTTGGAGTCCTGCACCAGGGTCTCAGAACTATCGGGGTTCGGGATTTCCTCCACACACCGGATGCGAACTTCGACCTTGCCGTTCTCGGGAGTGAACTTGAGACTGTTACCAACTAAGTTGATTAGCACTTGAAGAATCCGATGCTGGTCACCCCAGAGCACCATATCCCCGAGTCTACCAGTTTGCGGAGGACCAGTAGCTGGATGAGCCCGCTCAGTCCCTTTCTCTTGGCACATGGTGCCCCGGGACTGAGCATTTCCGTCTCCCACGTAGTTGACGCTGAAATCAATATGCTTCTCGTGTACCTGACTCTGGAAGATAATTGACAACTGAGATCGGATGTCAGAGAGTCTGAACTCCTTTTCTTCAAGATGAATAGCTTGCTCGATCTGATTCCGACTGAAAGTCAACAAGTCATTCAGCAGGTGTAGGAGCAGATCACCCGATTTGTAGACCACTTGCAGCGACTTCTTGATTCGATGCAGATCATCCTCGCCCATGCACACCGCGCACATGCCCAGAATTCCATTCAGCGGGGTCTTAAGCTCATGCGATATATTAGCGATGAACAAAGTCTTGGACTCATTTGCCGCCTCAGCAGCCACTTTCGCCTTCTCAAGCTCTCGCGTCCGCTCTATCACGCGCTCTTCCAGTCGACTATACTGGATTGTCAACTCGTCCGACATTTCATTAAAAGTTCTCGTCAGCTCCGTCAGTTCATCCGTGACACAGGTCCTCCTTTCTTTAACTCGGCCGGGGATGTGCAACGAGGACCGAGGAGGGTGACCAGTCCCAACGCTATGCGAACTATTGAATCGGTCCAAGGGACGCCGGAGCCGCTTCACCCACGAATCAGGGGCACTCTTTTCGTCCATGTGTTCCTCAATAGTTTGTACCCTGTCTCCCTCGATGTGTCCAGCAGCCAGCGTGGGCGGCACATCCGGTTCGATCGATTTCCGTGCGGCCTCCCGCATCCTTCGGATCGGAGCGACAGCCCAGTGCGCCAGGAGGGGAACACAGAGTATGATGAATCCGGCGGTGCCGAACACACAGGCGAGGATGATCTTCCGTAGGCGGACAACCGGGGCGAATGCCTCGGAATGCGTTTCCTCGACTACCAAAATCCAGTCGACCAGGGGCGATTTGATGCGAACCGCGCCCGCTGCGACGCTGTATCCTTGCTCGTTCTTGGTTGATAGTTTGCTGACGGAGCGGTTCTCGTTCTCTTCTGTTTCGTGCATTAGCCGCATGGCCATGGGGTAGTCGGACAGGTCGAAGGAGGTGCTTGCTGAGACGCCGCGGTGGCGGGTCTCCTGGGACGGTAGCGGAGTGGGCTCGAACACGTAGTGGACCTGTGAGTCGGCAAGGAGCGGTCGATCCGGAGATGGGGTGGCGGTTGCAGGCTGCGTCTGCGTAGGGAAGCGATTTTCCGCGTTGGAGGGGCCGAGCAGAAGGACTTGTCCAGTGGTGCCCAGCCCGTCGCGAGAGCTGACTACGCTCTGCACGTTCTCCGCACTGGCAATAACCCTACCATCTGTCATTATCAAGGGCCCATTGCCCAGTGGAAGGCCACCTACGTCATATAACCCAGAATCTCCGTGTCCGATGTGTTATTAACGATGGGCAAAGTCAGAGAAACGAGAGAGAACGAATCGTTGATCGCCAGCGGGCCCAGAAGCAGCGCGGAAGTTAAGCCCAGCGCGTAGTCGGGAAAGGCGTACGCTGTCGTGAGATTGCCACTGTTGGTGGATCGCGTATAGGTCAGGTTTGGATATAGCATAGCAGGGTAGCCGAAGCCCTCATCTCCCAGTTTCACGGAGGACTTATTCGGGTAGGTATAGGGCAGCGTGATATCCGGGATGGTGTTGCTGGTGACGTTGAGCAATCGTTCGAGGCCGTCCGGTCCGTTCCTCGAGTATAGGATCGCCTGGTACGTGCTTAGGTAGCCTCGGCTGCCTAGGGCCGAGTCGACGTCCGTTATCGAGTTCACCCAGTTGGTGTCGGATGAGTTCCCCGCATAATAGCGTCGTAGAGCCGCCTGGACCAAAAGCCGAGTGGATATGGCCCTACAGGTCACCTCAAGAAGCTCGAGGCTGGAGGCGATTTGACTCGCCTTGACGGTGGCGACGAGTTCGAGGCCATGCGATCTGTCTTTGGTATTAGTTGACTGTGAATAAACTCCGGGCTCCTCCGACCTACTCAACGTCGACGACAAAGTTATATACAGTAGTCCACTAGTGCGTGCTGTCAGTGTGTCGATCTCCCTTGCCTGATCAGGCAACCAAAGCTTACTGTTGCAACGGCCAGGACGATAATACCCACAAGGGCCGTCAGGAGTACCAGCAGCCCGAGCTGCACGGCAATGGGGATACGCATCCGGCCACGGCAATGCCAGGAACGGACTCAGTCCATGGAGCGGGGTGTGGGATTCTATATTCTAAGCGGAGTGAGTCCTCCTATACCGATGGGGAGGGAGATCTGGAGAAAAAGAGAGACATCGGGGGCTAGAGTGAGATGCATGTCTATTTGATCCTTTACCGGGAAACAAGTCAGAAGATTCTACACTAACCACGTTAGTTCTCCTTTATTCATTCTTCCTCCTGCTTATGTTCCGAGCAAGGGTCTCGACATTGATCCACCCTGATTTGTCGCGGGGCCCGCCAGGTCAAACTAGAACGAGGTCTAGACTCACATTGACACCCGTTCATTGGTAGAGATACGTTGGGATTTCCTCTGGCCTACCAAAAAAACTTGTTTTCTTTTTCTAATTTTTCTGCTGGTCGGAACTCATGTTTCCGTGTCTGATTGTTTCCTTTTTTTTTTTTTTTTTTTTAGCTTTTGTACCCGAATCGCGGAGTCTAGATATTTGTTGCCACTCGTTTCAACCCTATCAAGGTGATTTCGACTCAACGTATTCTTGGAAAACACCCCCCAAATCTATACTAATAGAATGCGCTCTTCTATTTCTTTCATGCGCTGTGGGTCTATCAAATCTCAGAGATATACCTAGATAAATAAAAATAATACAGGTTACCTATAGGCTACAAGCCAGTTGTGCACATATCGACAAACGTTAAAACTCTATGTATACCTGAATGTCCACCATGGCATAGCCCTTGTCCACTAACCAACACCAAGAGTGTGGTTCCATGGTCATTCCACCCTGACTGAACAGATTCCATCACTATTGGTCCCGGGGCCATTGAACCAACGGGTTTGAATTGTTATAGCACGTAGGTCTTGCGATTGAGCTCTAGTGGCTGGTGTGACCACCTTAGCGAGAGAGCGAATCTGGCCCATTGACAAAAAAATGAAATACAAAGAAGGTCATTCCGCGGTATTACCCGCCGAATGCTTTCTTCATATCCACTGCTAGAGGCAATTTACTTAATGGGGTCATGGTCTGCTCAAACCCCTAAGGTCATTCACTCTTCACTAAAATGGAGCATTATTTCTGGAACGGTGCCTTTTATATTCCCCAGGATCGAATTCTACTACAAATCCATTGACTGACTGCGTTGGTCAATATGCAAAAGCTGTAGCGAGTTCCGAAAAGCGGGATCCGCTTAAGATAGGACAAATAGGGAAGTCAGAGACCCCGTACTCAGGCTGTAGATGGACAGGGCGCAGGCCGGCTATTGACGGCTGACAATACCAGGATTCGTTACCCACTAGTCTATATATCATGTTCAATATAAACCTTAACCAGGGATATCTTCAGTACTATACAATACGCCTAGACCTCCAACTTTGCGGACCCAACTGACAAGGTGGGCATGCTTTCCCTCCTACTACCACTACTACTACTACTACTAAGCGTCCAGGTCATCTATCGTGATGAGAGTGTATGCACCGGCTACCGATAATAGACCTTGTTGTGGAGCTCTGAGATCAGACCTCAGACCATCTAGATCTGATATATAGACTGTCCACTAGGGCAACAACAATCGCACCATGCCATGTTGACCAGCTTTTCCCCTTCTACCAAAGCATGACGATATTATTTCTATTTCCCATCCAGTGCCAGGAGTCTGGAGGAATGCCTCGCTTAGCGTCGTCTCCAAGCGTTTTACACATCGTGCTGTGAAGTTATCGCGCGCAGTTACACAGGTTGTCAATGCGACGGGTGAGCTTGGCACGAGACTTGATGGCACGATCCTGGGGTAAACCCGTATTCGTGACTATATGAGGCACGGTATACATAATTTGGAAGATGACGGTGTCTTTACGGACTACTCTGCACGTTCTTCTTATTCATTCTCCCGGATACTTAAGGTTTATTGCATTCGCTCAGTGATTCTCCATCTGCGATCATCATGCCCTCACTACTTTCCGAACAAGAGATGTAGCTAGTATATTGTAAGAACCAAATCTACCAGACCATCGAGCAATCAAGCCAACAGAATATCATCGGGGTCGGAAATTTTTCCATCGTTCACAAATCGAACGACAAATCGTTCGGAAGGTCCCATCCTCCAAATCGGATATCTATAGCACCCGCGCGATCAAGATCAAAGCGCAAGATTACCGCCATCTGGGAAAAGGCACAAACGCATCGCGCGATGTCTACACTGGACTGACGACTATATTGATATACAGTATGAGCTGCACCGTGACTTCGAGTCGTATCTAAGGACAAATTGCGCATCGGATCACTTTCGACGTCGAATAAGACAGGCTGTCGAAGCGGTTATCTTAATTCACGGCAAAGATGTTAATCACTCTGATCTTTTGGCTCGGCACTACGTCGTTACAAAGTATCGATGGCCACCGACATGAAGAACGCAACATATTTCCTGCGGGGGGATGAAGACGCGCCGAACATGGTGCAGAGCGATATTTTCGCTCTCTGGTCGACTACCTACGAAAATCTGGCCGGCCACAAGCCCTACGTGGAATAGAAGACGAGGAAAACCAAAGACTGTATACAAACAACGCTCTTCCGACGCTAGACAAGATCGCAGATATTCCGTGGGGGTACATCATCCGGCGGAAGAGCCAGTATAACATCGCCTTCGATATCCTGAAAGACATACCACCCCGGCTGCTGCCCAAGCGCATTTGCTCCAGGTATAGCTCGCATGTCTTGATGTGCGGCTCAAGGATTTCAGCTATTATTGGCATGAAGCTTCTACAGTGATGCCATGTTTACATAAAACGCGACGGCATGTTTAAGGGGTTCCTAGTCTAGTGAGAGATCGCTTTAAGAGGAACCTTCCTCCAGCGCACAGAAACATTCGCCCTCAACAACTTAATCCACAGCCTAGTCTAGCTAGCCCTCGAAGAATTAAAGCAATAACCATACCCACCACCCGGCCTGTTTATTCGACGATGATATGACTCAACGCCCCATCCCATCTCATCCCTTTACAACATCAATCAATCATGAATCAAAACTAAAGCAAGTGAACTTGAAAACAGCCGGGAACACTGCATCTTACACTATCTCCCACGAGAATACGATATCACCGGCGTGAGTCGTGACGGACCTCCTGCCCTCCCCCCTTGGTTCGTCACGACACTGCATGTGACCTTCTAGATGCGATGTTGGGTTTGGGCCGAGGGAATGCTTTTCTTTCTTCCCTCCGGACGTTGGTCGTCTCTTCCTGTTCGGGAGTAGGATGCTTTGTTTCCCGCCTGTTTGGTCCTTGTTGTTTTCGGAGCAGAGAAAGTGCCTGGTTGGTCACACTGATTTTGTTTCATGTTATTAGGGTGTAGCGTAAAGCCGGTGCGGGGGTGTGCTGGTGTGGTTTTGAGGAGTAACATGCACCAGTTTGTGTTGGTGCCTAGTGATCAGGAACCGGAGAAAGTGTGTCAAGTGTAGTGTGGCGTATTTGGGGCGGCCGAATGGGGAGGCTCCTATGAAACGGCTGAGTCGGGGGAGAGCTTGGTGCCCGGGCCGGAAGCAGGAGTGCCTGGGAAAGCGGCGATGGCCCGGAATCCGGAGGCGTATCGGCTCAACGCGACCCGGGGATAGTTGGGATAATGCGCCCAGTCGAGGCGGGAGACGTTTAGGACCAGTCCCGGAACAGATGTGGGGAGACCGAACCTGAACCAGGTGCCGATCAGGTTCACTTCATGTTACCGGCAGTGCGGGGAAGTTACGATCGAACGCAGACGAAAGCTGATATCCTCTATGCTGGCGCGACGGGGCTTAGACTGAGTGGTTGTCCGTGTGGCGTTGGGGGTGTTGAGATTGGGGAGCCGGCTTAGTTCCAGATAGGCCTCTTCGGGCTGTCTTCCGGCGGATTGATTGGCAATGTAGATCAGTTTGCCGAGGACGCCGAATTCCACCTTTAGTTTGACGCTGTATACTGTGGCTTTCAGGGTAGTTTGGTAGATGTACAAGTTGGCGCACTCTACCGCGATGAGAACGATGTCCATGAGGATGCACACCAGGTTCATTATGAACAGCTGGAAGATGATGTTACGGTTATCACGATTGGGATTTAACTTGAGCAATCGGTTCGTCTCCCACATGTAGATGCCCGAGATGATTAGTTCCTGCGCGCAGAATCCTGCGACTTGGACTCTCTCCATGACGTTGTACGCGGTCAGGTACTCTTGCGACTGCTCATAATTGGCGGCGTATGTCAATACGGTGGTCGGGATGTGCAGGAGAAAGACGTTGGCGATGATCATGTAGCAGACAAACTTCAACGCTGTCGGATTCTGGACGACCAGATGGAGCCTCGAGTAGAGTACGAACGACTGGCCGGTGACCATGGTCCACCAACCCACGGTGACAAGAGTCAAGGAGAGCCACACGGCTGACGTAAGGTCGAAAAATTTCATGAAGAAGCCGACCGAGTATGGGAGGATGCCGATGGCGGAAATCAACATGCTCGAGAAGTATACGCCGCGATATTTTTTGAAAGTCGAAAAGATGAGGATGATCAACTCAATGGCATTGTACCACGCGACCACGACAAACGTGGTGATGGTGATACGCAGGCCATCGCTGTTGCCCGTATAGCTACCGGTAACCCAATTAGACGGGCTCGAGGAGCTATTCGTACCATTCAACATCAGGGAAGAAAGGGGGTGGCTTGTCATTGTCCGGGAACCACAAAGGAGGGAAGAAGGTTGAGTTTTCGCGGGGTAGAAGAGAAAGAAAGTGACATTTCACTTGCAGATAGCTGCCCTCTTGGGGTTAGTGTTGATGTTGTCCCCATTACGCGATCAGATCCAACTAACCCTTTAGTTAATACGAGGGACACTTATAGATGATTCCTTCAGGGTCAGAAACCCTCCGGGATTGGTCTGCGTCCGTCCTAGTTGATTCCACAACACTACCCCGTACTCTAGTAGTCGCGAATTAGGGCTTGTCCCCCAAATTCTCAAGATACATGACTCCCGGGAATGTACAACAAGCTAGTATAGAAGTAGTCCGTTCCGCGATCCAATCGTTCGAACATGTCCCCGTCCAACTTCCCCACAGATCCATAACCCTCCACGGATTTCACCGAAAGTGCCGGGGCAATTCTCGTCCGTCTCAACTCACCCCCCAAACAAGTGTGCGAGATCCGCCACCCGACCCGGGACGACATGGCTACTCCCCAAGGGCCGGCGCAACTGCCACGAGTCGCGGCACGACGCAGCCGTCCGTGAAATAAATCACTGAGGAAGCTGGTTATGCCTGTCACACTTATTCCCGTGACAATGGCAACTCGAACCCCGAGAACCCGGGGTTGTGGAGGATCGGCCCAGAATATATCCCGACGAGACGGGAATCGTTTATGCTGACGGTGAGGGAGCTGGACGATGGCTCTCGGGTGAAGATGATCTGGTGGTATATCGATGTTCTAGATGAGGAAGAAAACGTCAGTCAAGGCGAGTTTGAAGCCCAATTTTTCTCCCTTCAGGAGGCGTTGGATCGATTGACGTTTGACAAAGATCGCAAAGGTGCTAGTGCGCGCGATTGACGTGGTCAAGAGTTGCCAAGCGACTTGAAGCTTTCTGTTATTAATTTTACTCTGAATGGACGAAAGGAGTAAAGGCAATGTGACACCTAAATCTCGTTCCACGTTAGGGGAAACGGTTGGTCGCATCATGTAGATCTCATCTCGTAAAGCCGTCGATGAAATTTTTGCTCATGAGTACTACGACAGGCCAAAGAACAAGATGGATGTTGTACCTGAGCGAAAAGAAGCACAGAGGCCAAGGAGAAAATCAGTATATGGCCGTATTGATTCTACATCGCTAGACCCATCTCGACCTACACTTACCTCCGACCAACTGGACAATACGCCCCTAAAGCGGCATGGGAAACCCGCCCCAAACAGCAAGATGACGGATGCCTCGTAAAAACAAACCAAACCCCAACTCAACACCTACAACACTTCTTGCCACATCCCCAAATTCAACAAATGGCCCGCTCAGATGAGGCCGAGTTCTGGTTTAACGCAGTCTACTCCGCGGTCCAAGAAATCCCCCCCGGAAAAGTAACATCCTATGGTCAAATCGCCCTTCTACTTGGGTATCGTATGTACATCATTCTCTAGATATACATATATATATATATATATCGATCTAGAGCGATCGATCAGCGTACCTTCTAGATAGCAACGTGCTAAGGTTCAATAGCGCAACGCCCCCGTCAGGTAGGCGTCTGCCTGAAACATCTACCGTCTGATCCCGGAGAGTATTTTAATTCGACAAATGTTCCTTGGCAACGGGTGATTAATGCCAAGGGCATGATTTCACATCGGTATTTCTCTCTTTCCGGGTTGTTTGTTTGGGTTATGTCTAGGTTGAGAGACTCACATGGGTAATAGGGAGCCGGGGAGTGCGGAGCGACAGGCAGAGGCGTTGAGAGAAGAAGGGGTAGAGGTAGAGACGGATGCTATGGGGGAGTTTTATGTGGATTTTGGTCGGTTTGGTTGGTTTCCTTCAGTTCTGCCGAGTGAGATGGAGAATGAGGTCAACGGGTAAATTTAGTTGTGCATATACCACTGCTGTAGACTATGTGCATCTCGTTCAGGGATATATAATAGCGGTTACCGTATCACGCCCGTCGTGAGGGCCATCGCACATAACATGTCGCAGACTGTGATTGTATCTTATACCCTCCCTTTTTTTAAATGGAATGTGGCCACACAATCATCTACCTAAACAACTGAGGGAGCGAATACAGGTCAGAACGTCAAGGGTCTTTTTATGTCTAACGCAAGCCCCCGTTGACTAGCCGACCTGACGTAAATAATGACATATGTAGAGGCAGACATGATATCAAGACTCTATGTAGGTGAAAGAGATAAAGGAAAGATCGTAAAACACGAGGGAGAATAAAGAGCATGCGCGTCATATCAAGTGAAGGAGTCATAAAACATCCAGGGAAGCGGCCGAACCAAAACCGATACATTCGCAAGCCACGGCAAGGAAGAACAGCCACCAGACGAAGAAGATTCATCACATCGTCGTCGTTGTACGACTATCTCCGCTTCACCTCCGACGCCCACCCGTCAATTCCTTCGCCCCGACTGCCCGGAGGAATGCCCAGACCGGTGTCACCCATACCCGGTGTGTCCTTAATCCACTCATGGGATGCCATGCCACCGGCATTGGCGCGTCTTTCGGGCGAGATGTCCAACATGGGCAACAGGAACTCGCTAATCCGCATGCTCTCTTCCGCCGAGAAGTGGTACTTCTCCCGCAGGACGTCGGGGAGAGCCCAGTGACGGAGTCGATGGATGTTGCGCAGCTCGCCCTTGCGGTTGAAGATCTCCTGTGACCACTTGCCAGCGAGGCAGAGCGACTTGGGGAAGGGGCCTAGCAATTCGATAATCTGCGCAATGTGGTCGTCATCCTTGCCATATTTCGTCCCCGATTGCGGATCGAACAGGTAATCACCCGTGATGAGCTCAAAGACCTAGACACTAGTGAGCAGAGAACCTCCCGTCGGGGCGCAACGCCAGCGCCGCCCGTGAAATTCAATTGAGCCTACCATGCACGCCATACTCCATACATCTGTACTCGCACCCCACTTAGACCCGAGAATGACTTCAGGCGAGCGATACTGTCGCGTCTGGATATCATTGGTGAAGTGGTGGCCCACCCAGCAGGCATTTCCCAGGTCGGCGATCTTCACTGAAATAATATCGAAATCCAGTTCTTCTTTGGACTCGTCGGAAGACTTGTTTAAGGAGATGCCGGATACCTCGCGTTCCAGTAGGTCACTAGAAAGAGTTAGCTTCATTCCACAGTCCCGACAGGACACGGAGCATACGCGGTCTTCTCTCGTTGCTTTTGTTTCTCATCCTCGTTCTTTATGCCTAACAATTCTTTCATGGACGACTTCTCTGTGGGTTCTGCAACGGATCAGCGGGCGGCCGCGAAGCACCATCTAGTGCGCTATACATACCAGACTCTTCATTGATCATTTGACTCAGACTACTATGCGAGTGTTGTGAGCTGTGTTTGAAATCAAAACTGGTGTTGAGCGGACTGGGCAACGGTTGACTCCCTGTGATCAGGGTCCGACGCCGCCGGCGGCCATTGCGATTATCTTCTTTCTGCTCCTTCTTCTGCTCCTCCTTCACGTATGTCTTCACAATCTGCTCCACGTCCCCGATCTCGATCAATACGTTCTCCGGCTTCAAATCGGTGTGGATGATGCCGCATTCACGGTGGAGATAGTCCAATCCCAGGAGGACCTGTTTCGTTATCTGCTTCACCAGCGGCATCGGAATGCCGCGGTGGTTCCAGCGCTTAATCAATCCCAGTAGATTCTCACCCAATACCTCGAATACCATACACACATGGACCCCATTCGGTCCTTTATGTTCGAACGAGTCGAGCAGGCTGACGACATGCTTGCGGCCAGGGTGCGATGGCTTCGCTTGGACGATGCGATTCAGTAGCTTAATTTCGTCGATGGCGGTTTCGGTATAGTGAGCGGCGGAACGAACGACTTTGAGGGCGACGTGTTTCCCCGTGGTGGTATCGCGGGACAACCAGACGGTGGAGAAATGACCCCAGCCCAACTTGCGCACGACCACGTAGCGACCATTGTTATACGTTTCACCGACCGTCACTGGATGGTAACCTCCCTTGCAGTAGTCTTCGGAATCCTCCTCTTCGGCGGTCGTCTCTACTTCGTCTACGGAGGAGGTGGATGGGGATCGCGATTGCGGAACGGCGAATGTGGGAGCTCTACCGAATGATCAACAACCGGGGATCAGAGAAAAAAGAACGCATCGGGAGGCGGGAGAGGGATTCCATTCAGACATACCCTTCTGTTGTAGCATCAGCCGCTGTTTCGTTGGTGACGATCGGCTTCAAGTCGGTGCCTTTTCTTCTTTTCTTACCGCCATTGCCATTGGCGGCCGATGCGGCCACACTGGCCATCTGCTTCCCTTTATTTAACACAGCCTTGGTGAGATCGACCCCGTCCATAATTCCGATTGCGGAAGAAGGGTAATCCGAATGGATCGGGGGGGAAAAAAAAGAAGAAGGTGGGTGACGGTGAGGGGGGAGATGAGGCGAAGGGGCGAGACAGAAATGGTGGAGTTGAAGTGGCGGGCGCAAACGTTCCAGAAGAACGACGATGAGAGGGGGAGGCGAAGTGTGGTGCTGATAATCTCCGGCGGAGGGAGTGTGATGGTGGAGAGAAAAAGTAAAAAGGGAAATCGGAAGTGTCAGAGAAAGAGAAGGAGGGAAAGAGAATATAGAGTCGAGAGGGAGAGTAGAAGAGAAGAGCGAAAAGAGTTGAAGTTCCAAGAGGGGTGAATCGCCTTTTTCGGCGGCAACAGAAAATACACCTTTTTGGCAGTACTTGACAATACCTGTGTTCCCTCACCCAAATCAATGTACCCCCCGATCAATACAAGAATAATGAGGAACACAATCCAGATAATCTCAAAGCGAGAAACAGAAATGATAAAGAAAAGAAGAATGATTCTTACCAAAGGCCACCAATCCTTGACAGGCAATAAAGGCTTCTATATCAATCAAAGGAACACATGAAATGGACACAACCATATATATATATATATATATGACGCAAACGAGTCCAGAAAACTTTTTTTTTTTTTGTTATTCTTTTAATGGATGCCCGAATTCCTCCGACCTCATTGATATCTATGGGGTAAAAAAATAGTAGTAGATCAAAACGTCAATCGTTATACGATGAACTTGGATGAACGGAATTAACCTAAGAATCAAGGAGAAAAGATCAAAAGTGAATCTTTAGGTGCTAGTTCTACTGTTGGGCACTGGAATGTGATGATGACCGCAAGCAGTACCTTAGTATACGATCCACTTAGAAGAAATCGGGTGGATATATGGAGTATTGAATCAAATAGAAGAAAAGACGATGTTACCAAATGATGTCAAGATCATATAATATCAGATCCATCTGTTACCCCCGCGGATCCTACATACCACCAACCCACCAACTACAGTACAACGTTGATATAGAGTCTGCCATAGGGCAAGAATCCATCACGATGTCGACGGGGATTGGGATACCAATACAGTGACCAGCTGAGAGAGATCCCTCCCCCGGCTGATAACCTGGCCATCCAGGAGTCTAGACTTACACGTAAGTCCTTTACAATCAGGGACCCAGGTCATTAGCAGCCCACTAGACTCACCGAGGAAACCGATAGATCCAGTTCACCACCGTGTTGCCGCATTAGGCAATCTAAGGGTCACTCCGCCCGGAGGGCTCCGGGTCAATAGTTCAACCGAATGACCGAGTCACGGGGTCAGGGCACGTGAAGAGACATGTCATGGTCACGTGTAGCTAGTGTATATGGCCTGGGGCATTGATGCATCGAACGACCACCACCACCGTTTGGGCATCAAAAGGAAAAAAGGTGATGTGCGGTGAGTCCCAGTGGTCGCGTGGGTCTCCGTTATATTGGAACTAGTTTTGATCATCGCCCATTCGTATGTTCATTGGCCGAGAAGATACGATACCTGTGTCCATATCTGGTCTCCCAGACAAAGCGGATGAGTTTCCCATGACCTTTGACTATGACTACGTGAATGACTTAAGCTCATTTTGAGTCTCTTATCTGTCCGCTGTGGATTCTTTTGTATACGCCACTAGCATCAGAAAACAATAGGGCTGTTTAGCCTCTAAAAGCGTAAGGTGAAACTGACCAAGATGATCGCCAAGCCGTGGTATGCTGCCCAGGGATACATATAATGCGCATACCACAGTGATGGTGCGATTAACGCGACAACGAGTCGCACTTTTGAAATGAAAATTTACTCCTCAACTTGTTCCCAGGATTCTCCAACAAGAGCTCCACCGTCTCCCAAGAGAAAAAGTTCTTCCTGAGCTATACAGCATAGGCTAGTTGCTCCGTTGTATTGGACGCTGTCAGCCATAGGCGCGTCTATGGATAGTGTAAACAGAAACAATGATATCACGGAGACGTACAAATTCTGTGGTCGATGAGATAGAACTGGTAGTGGCTATATGGCTATTCACGGACAATAGTCCATGAGAGAACGTTGTTAAGCTGAGAAATGCTGGTCTACAATCCTCAGGAGAATGCTCTCCAGACATGCCACGTAATCAACACTGTATTGCTGTGCAGTTATCCCACTCGGTATTAGTTCTGATGATACGCCGAGGCAGGAAACCAAATGGCCCAAGCCTGTGAGGTCAAGCTCATAGATTCCGAATGTGCCGAGAGTTAAGTCGTTGATGTGCGGAGGTTCATGAATGTGCCCTTGCAGCCAAGGTCTTAAGGAGACTTGACTATCCAATCAACACTGCCTGGTACATATAGGGCAACGATTCCCCTCTACTCACATTCCAGATGCTGGAGCTCCTTGAGTAGGGATATGCCCCTGCTTCTGAAGAGAATCAACGGCCTGGTGACATCACTACAAGCCCTGACCTATCGAAGACATCATGATCATCACCTGGTGTTGGTTTTCTTTTTTGGCGATCAATGTTTTACAGGGCTGCGAAAGCTTGGTTATACGATCGTCAATACATGATACATGTCCTTCTGCAGCCATACCACAACAGATGGCCAATGTAAGCTGTTTGCAGTACTCCCTGGTGATGCTGATCATGGTGAAAACTTACGTGGAATATTTAACGACATATTTATGTGCCAAGAAGGACGATAGTGATTGCCTGATATCTTGGCAGAAACACATACCTTGTATCCATATTAGACTTCCAGTCCACGCATATACATTCCTGAGCTTGTAAGGCCGGACCCACTATGAATAAACTAGTGGAGGACTTGATGTTGTCTCTATGAGTCCTTTCCTGATTTAAATATCTCCGCTGGCCCTCATGTTTAACATGACTGGAGACAGATGCATAGAAGCGTGTCCTCGCAAGATTCTAGGCCACTATGAAACCGAAAACTGTCGAATGTGAATCCTTGGATTCAGTCGAGACAGAGCGATCGAGCCTTAGGCACGTTTGTGATGACATCTCTCTCGATATATTCCTAGTGGCCGTTGCGGAGCTGGCTGAAAGATTCACATATCGGTCTCTAACGGCGCCGATGCGTAAGTAATCAATGTATCCCATCGCTACATATATATCTGACAGATACTAGAGAACTATATTCAGAACGCACGGGACGATCCGATGCACCCTGGAGCCCTCGGAATGGTATGTCAGACCGATGTGACACTGATCCTTGGCTTGACTGATTGATAAAATATATATACAGGGCCAGAAATTAGCGACTGGAATGAACTACTCCTTTGTCGGATGGTGTTACTTCGCTCCAATCCTAATGGCAATTGTGGCAGATACTTTTCTTGGTCGATTCAATACGATCGTTTTGGGGACTGGGTATGATGCTCACTCCCACGAAAGAGATATACTGACGGTCCGGAAGGTTTTCGGCAGCTGGAGTGCTCATCCTCTTTGTTACCTCCCTCCCAGTGAGCTTGGAGAATGGAGCTGGTCTCCCCGGACTAATGGCGGCGTTGGCCTTAGTGGGATTGGGGTAAGAGTCAACAACGAAAGACTACGGCATAACACTAAGATTTTATAGCACCGGCGCAATCAAGAGCAATGTAGCCCCCCTGATTGCTGAGCAGTATGCGGGACGCCCTGAGCGTCTAAAGACATTGAAGAGCGGCGAGCAGGTGCTGGTTGATCCTAGCGTTACCACCCAGACGATATATGCGCGGTATTACTGGTTTGTTAACATATTACATTCCACTGTTTGGCTCATTTTTGACATGATATGCAGGGTGATAAACCTAGGCGCGCTGTCAGTGCTTCCCGTGTCGTGGATTGAGCTTAAAGTGGACTTCTGGGCGGCATTTATGCTGCCATTATGCTTCTGGACCCTGGCGATGCTGGCCCTCCTGGCAGGTCGCACCCGTTACAGTGAGTATGGCTATTCGCGTTTGGCTGCAAATGCTGATCTCAATAGTCGTTCGCCCCCCTCAAGGGTCCGCAATTATCAAAGCAATGCGCGTATTATGGATTGGCATCAAAAATAAAGGAAACCTCGAGGCCGCCAGGCCATCATTGCTGGAGAAGGCAGGTGTGTCCGTGTCATGGGACGGCATTTTTGTCGATGAACTCAAAGGAGCTCTTGTAGCCTGCCGTGTATTGTAAGTGCCCTTTGATCAGAAGAAAGATATGCTTTATACTGATTGTTGGCCTAGTTTGCTATTGTATGTGGTTCAACTTCGGAATCGGCCAAACAGCACAATGGAGCGCTAACCTAGGCAGTCCCATATATTGGATTTGCAACGGGCAGGGAAATAGCAATTTGGTCAGCATGGCTGCCTCTATGGATACACATGGCATACCGAACGATATGAGTACGTGTTGCGTGATCGTGTTTGAGCGGGAGATTGACTGACAAACATAGTGGGGTGTTTTAACCCGATTACTATATTACTTGCCATACCCCTTTTGTATGAATGTCTTTGCATGATATAGTGATGGCTAAGCTAATTGAGATGGTAGCGAGTGCATCATTTACCCTGGTTTGCGTCGATATAACATTGCATTCCATCCCATTAGTCGGATTACGACCGGTTTCTTTGTGACAGCGTGCGCGATGGCATTAGCTGGCGGTCTTCAAGAACGTATGCGGACAGACCCCATAATACCTCTCCCACTTTACTGACTAGAGCCAGTAATTTACGAGACCTCCCCATGTCAGAGAAATCCTACAGCTGATGGTTGTGAGGGCGCCACTCCGGCTCGCAAGGTAAGTTTATGGATTCATGAATATGGAGTGCACACCCGCCTGACATTCTGAACCAGATCAGCGTGTTCTTGCAAATCCCCGTCTATTCCCTGATTGGCATATCTGAACTCCTTGCAATGCTGTCCGGGATGGAATACGCGTATACTAAGGCACCGCAGTCCATGCGCAGCGTTATTATGGCACTTTTCCTGATGACTGGCGCGGTGGGATCCTCCCTTGGGATTTCGCTTTCGGCAGTGTCTGTGGATCCTAGGGTCCTGGTGGAATATGTCTCCCTCAGTGCCACTATGCTCGTGGCAGCGATTGTATTCTTTTTGTGTTTCCGGAAATACAGCCGTATCGAAAAGAGTATGAACATGTTGGTGGAAGTAGATGGTCCTAAGGACTCATTGGATACGGACGACGCGAGCAGGCTTGAGAAGCAATGATTCATGTTGATTTTCCCAGATGTCTATTATTTTATTGCACTTGCGTGTTTCTCTTCTTGTACAGTATCTTGTCTACTACATGATGTGCTCTGATAGAGACATCTGCTTTTATCGAATTCACTGCGTGAATATTTGCGATGATAGTGTCTCTAGCATATTAACTACTGCTCTGATGGCAGATACCTCTTGAGTGGACCAAAGAATAAATCCTCCAATCCTTGGTTCCAAAAAGGCTAAGGTCTCTACCATCTTTCCTTTAGATATGGAGTCAGCCATCCTCCAATGTTTGAGCGTCACATTCCTCTGTAAAGCTTGTCTGTTGAAACGAATGGCGGCCTGTGCGTACCACTTAGCAGATCTCTAACCGCAGTGAATAGGGAGATATTTTCTCAAATAGTTTTCAGCATGGATATGCGCCAGCATATTGCAGAAATTCTAGAAGAATTGTCTCGACCAGTCTTGTACGTCATCCGGCAACCCTAACTTCGCCACCGAAACTTCATTTTAAACAACCCAATGATTCGATTGCACCCTTCATTATTGTTTTAGCGAAGAATCCGATTGTCCAAATGGCGCACGGTGCGGCGCCGAATATACCACTGGCTCTTGCTCCAGGGCCCGAGCGCTACGTTGCCGATGGCTTCGATGCTGATGCACGTGTAACGGGTCCGAGATAGTTCCTACTAAGGAAATACGATGGGATCTAACGTCACTTAGATGATGGCCGCGTGCAGATCGCACTGAACGATGACGATCCACAGGTAGTCAGCCTTCTGGAAGCGATCCAGCGAGAGACCACACGCCGCCCATCACAAATCAGAAGAGAGGATGCTGAGTTCCCACCGCGACTAAATGTGGTCATTCATGTCGTGGGCTCGCGCGGCGACGTACAACCGTTTATCGCACTGGGGCAAGCCTTAAAAAGACATGGACATCGCGTGAGATTAGCGACCCACCTGGTCTTCCGGGACTTTGTTAAACAGCACGACCTGGAGTTTTTCAATATCGGCGGCGATCCGGCCGAGCTTATGTCGTTCATGGTTAAGAATACAGGCCTTATACCGAAAATGGAGACGCTGCGAGAAGGTGCCATAGGGAAACGTCGCAAGGAGATACGGACGATGATTGGGGGATGTTGGCGCTCGTGCATTGAGGCTGGCGAAGGCATCGATTTGACTAGCGATGACCCGATCACTGCGCCGGCGTTTGTGGCCGACGCGATCATTGCGAACCCGCCGAGCTTTGCGCACGTCCACTGTGCGGAGAAATTGGCCGTGCCGTTGCATTTGATGTTTACGTTGGTTTTCTCCTGCATGAGTCTCTGATGCTTTGGATACTGATTATTCTAGAATGCCATGGTCTCCCACGCAGTCCTTTCCACACCCCCTTGCCAACCTCACCAATATCAGCACTCGCGATGCAAAGGCGTCGGTAGCGAATTTCGCCTCTTACATCCTGACGGAGATGATCATCTGGCAAGGAGTCGGCGATCTGATCAATCAGTTCCGTCGCTTCGAGCTGGGATTGGAACAGCTGGATGTGATGCGCGCTCCCAGTTTGGTCACCCGCTTGCGCGTCCCCTTCACTTATATGTGGTCCGTATTCTTACCCTGCACATGAACAGACCCATTGAATACATATCTTAGGTCCCCGTCTCTCCTGCCAAAGCCCGACGATTGGCAGGAGTACATCGACGTAACGGGTTTCAACTTCCTACCCGCGAAAGCCGGCTACGTTCCACCCCGCGACCTGGCCGAATTCCTAGACGCAGGTCCACCACCACTCTACATTGGCTTTGGATCCATCGTAGTAGACGAGCCCGACGCCCTTACCCAGACTATTCTCGATGCCGTCGAAATGACAGGCCAACGTGCATTAATCTCAAAGGGATGGGGCGGTCTGGGAGCCGAGCAGATAAACCGCTCAGATGTCTTCTTCATCGGAAACTGTCCCCATGACTGGCTTTTCGAGCGAGTCTCCTGTGTCGTCCACCATGGCGGCGCAGGTACCACAGCCTCCGGCCTCGCTCTGGGCCGACCAACTACCATCGTCCCATTCTTCGGAGACCAGCCTTTCTGGGGTGGCTTAGTTGCCCGTAACGAAGCCGGCCCTGCACCAATTCCGTACAAAAAGCTCACCGCTGACCGTCTGGCTGACGCCATCCACTTCTGCCTGAAGCCTTCGACCATGGCCAAAGCACAGGAACTGAGCGAACAGATCCGCGCAGAGAATGGCGCTCACGCAAGCCTAGAGAGCTTCCACCGCCAGCTGGATCTCCGCCGCGTCCAATGCTCCCTATGTCCGGATCGACCGGCTGTCTGGCGCGTGAGACGAACGAAAATTCTCCTCAGCGCGTTCGCAGCCACCGTCCTAGTCGAGGAGAAGAGACTCAACCCGAAGGATGTGAAACTGTACCGCGCAAAACGCTACGATACTACCGAGGGCTGCGCCGGAGCCGACAAGTTCACTAGCGCCATAAGCAACTTTCTAACCGGGCTAGTCGATATGCCTGTGAACGCTGTGCAGAATATCTCTGCCCCTGCTGCGGATCGCTTCGCGGAGAATTATGGCTTGCCCACCTGTGAGGCGCGCCAAGCAATGTTCGCGCCGGGTGTCTCTGTCGCACCACCGAATGGATCAATACAAGGAGATCAGATACAAGCCAGTGACGACGGGAAGTCTTCGCTTAGTTTGTCGTCTGCGGCGACGTCCCAGACGCAGGCTGGTACGCCGTCCATGGTGATCAAACGGAATCTGTTGCAGAACGTGGCGGTCAATACGAGTTATATCGGTCGTAGGATAGTGAATTGGGTGGTTGAGGTCCCCATGGGGATAACCTTGTTGGTCTCCCAGACTGCTCATAATGTACCGCGCTGCTATAATGACCAGACTGTGCGTGAGACACCTGAGGTCACTGGCGTCAGGTCTGGGATTGTTGCGGCTGGAAAGGTACGTGGATCTCCTGGTTCTCTGTTACAGTACGCCATGCTGACTGGCCTAGGAATTTGGGTACAGTATGTATGATGGTATCACCGGCGTAGTAATGCAACCCAGCCAGGGCTGGAAAGACGGTGGGCTTAGTGGAATGACCAAGGGAGTGGGGAAAGGTCTAGGTGGCATCCTTATTAAGCCTCAAGCCGGTGAGCTTTACATCCGAATGTGTGATATTACCACCTGTTGATCAAGTTTGTACATAATATAGGTATTTGGGGGCTGATTGGCTATCCCTTGAATGGCGTACACCGAGCCATTGAGCATTCTTATGGTGCTAACCGGGAGGGCTATATCGTGAGATCGCGAATCAGGCAAGGATTGGCAGAGTCTAAAGCTGCATCGCAAGATAGGAGGAAGGCTGTCTTGGAGAAATGGCGTACTTATGAGAAGGGGGTTCGCATTAAACATGAACGAAAGAGGCGCTGATATCGTCGACCTGCGTCGAGAGTATGGGATTTGCTCGTCCATTAGGCCTGTACATATGAGTTCTCACATTATTTATGTTGAAATTTGTCGTTTTCTATCCGTAAGACTAAAGGAAGTATCTACAAGTACTACTTTCATTGAAGCGTGTAGTAGAAAGTGGACCACGGTCACCCATTATTAAGCTTATTATTGCCAGCCGTCCTTGGCATAAATTCTCGGTATCCCATCGGCATCCCAGTTTGTTCCTCGATGATTTCTATGCATATTTGGGCTGCCGTGCCTCGTCTTCACAAGTAAATACATAAAATAGCTGTCGACAAGTGATTAGCTTCAGAGCCACAAGAGTCTGCTCCTATACACTGAACTGTCAAACACGAAGGATAATCTGCAGAATGGTCACATCAGAACCCTTGTTTCAGTGTGATGCGTGTGGCCGAAGATATCGGCGCAAAGAACATCTTACTCGACACGCTAGACGCCATGTTCAAACGCAGCCCTTTGGCTGTTCTTTTTGCGACAAAGTGTTTTCTCGAAAGCAAGTAGTACCCAATATGCAATCCCGGGCGCATTCAATGAGGTGCAGCCGATATTGGAACTCCCCAACTAACCAAACCAGTGACACTCTACGCCAACATATCCGCATAAACCACAAGAACCAAGAAATATCCCAGAGCCGTGCCGCCCAAGCATGCAATTACTGTCGGTCGCGGCGATCAAGATGCCAGGGGACACCATGTGAAGCGTGCGTGAAACGTGGTATCCAATGCTCCTTCACACGATCACCTCCAGGCCCCGGACACGCTCCCTCAACAAATTTGGGTCCTATTCGGAGATCGGAATCGATTGAGAAAAGTCCTTCGAGAACATTACCATATATCCAGGCTTACTTTGAGAAATTTCACCCAAGATGGCCATTTATCCACCGAGCAACGTTCAGCCCACATAATGAGCCAGCCTTCCTCCGACAGTCCGTCGTCATGATAGGCTTATGGTTAACCGGAGAAAGCAATGCCCAACAAGCAGCGGTGGAACTACATGAGAAGCTCACCTTATCCATCAACCAACAAAGGGTTAGTTACATTGACAGCCTTCCACCTCGCTCTTGATCCAGCAGCCCTGAGGCTTCAGAAACTAAACCTATTTTATAGAACCAATGGGACCTATCAAACCAACACCACCACTCACAAGCTCAAACTCGCCATCTCACCTCATCCAAATGGCCAATGGTAACCTACCAAGGCATACTCCTAAATCTCATCTTCGCGATGCTAAAAGGCACCCAAAACCAAGTCGGCCTTGAACTAACCCATACACTCCCCGAAATCCCCTCGCAGCTCCTAGCCGCCCTCGTCCAAAGCTGTCTGCAGCAAGACATGCTCTTCTACCCTTCAATAGTCGCCCATCTCAACTCCACCCCTGTCCCGGATGTTTTTATCTGGGTCGGTATAGAGGAAGTCAAGCGTTTCGCTCTGGCCTTGTATAAGGTCTGTCGACGGTGTCGGGTTCAGGACCTTCGGGCGTCGGATGGTGGGATGAGGGGCCATGAATCATGTCTACGGAGTAGGAGTATTCTTTCTTTGGCTGATTTGCGGTTTTCGCCGCCCGATAGTGATGAGTTATGGGAGGCTGAGTCGAATCTGGCGCCGCGGGTGGCTGCGAATGAGGATGTTTTTCGTGAGAGGAATATGGAGAGGAACTGGATATGTCAGACGGCGAGGTTGCTGCAACCTGATGATGCGGAGTTTGATTGGATTTAAGGGGGGTAGTATGGAATCATATCTTCGTAGAAATATGAGTATATAAATTGAAGAGTGGGCCGCTTCTCAGACTGTTAAAAGTGGCCAAACAAAAGTCACTGCTCTCTCTACTGGAGTCAAGGATACAACAGGGAATACAGCAATCCTGCCTTAAAGTGAATAGGTACAAGCAGAGTATAGCATTTTAGGAACTAGCAATATCCATGATATATCATGAGAAATCCATCGGCACACACATCCCCAGCTATCTAGCACTTGTGCCAACGGACAATAGTATTCCACTTATCATTATGGAAATCCTGACCCGAAAAGGTCTGACCACCATGGAGACAAGTATTCTTGATAAGCTGTGCCCCATCTGCAATATTGTTGAAGCTGGGCAGCACCTTGGTGAAGGTGTTCTTTGGTTCTGGTCAACATACATCACACCAAAACAGAAGGAGAAGTGGGTTTCCTCAAGATACTTACATCATTACACCACCAAATGGCCGAAGACCAAGAGCAGCTGACCTGGCCGCAGCTGCCGGGGCCGGGTCCTCTTTGGGGCTTGCCAGGAACTCCCCTCAAGTACTTGATGCCCTTATCAATATCGGCCTGTGTAGCAGCGGGGAAATGCCCGCATTTAACATCACCGCGCTTGGTCAGGTGAGAGGAAGAGTCTTCTTCCTCGGCAGGCTGTTCGGTTTCATCGGCGGGGATGGCGAACTCGGTGTCATAGTTGGGGTTGATGTTGCGCAGCTCAGAGAGGACTTGTTCGACTGTGCCGTTCAGGACGACGGTCGGGCCGCCGGGTGTTGTCTCGACTTCCCAGGAGAACTCCTCAATGGCGTATCCCTCGATTGGGGATTCGTCAGGTTGGGCCTGGTGATTGGTTAGAAGAGACTAGGGGAGGATGATATGGATAGGACCGAAAATGAAACGAACCCGAGCCAGAAGGCCGGCGGCCAAGAACCAGATGTAGTTGAAAGCTTTCATTATCGCGGGTCTTAGTATCTCAGAAGATTTAGACAACCCAGCATGAGAATCGACATTTTTTTTTGGAGACTTGCATGGTTTTATAGCTTTGTGTCCTGCACACTGAACATAGGGTTACATTGCTATGGAGGACTCGCTGGGCACTAACCAACTAGTCAGTTCAAAATTATGAAAACCAACAACTTAGACGATACAGAGGTGTTGGGAAGCAAGCACCAGATACTGGGCCAGGTGAGACATATCCGCGATTTCAGCCTTGATATGAATGGGTCATTGGCACTGGCTAGCTACTAGAGATCGTGGGTCAAGTCTCCAAGTCAAGCATGGTTCCTTATTCGCCATACGTAATTCTATGCAGAATGCCAAGGGGCCATTGCTTTAATCGTTTACATAATTAGTTATTGTTGTGAGCAGTAATGGGGGGTTTTCCCGAACAGAGTCAAGCGACTAAGGCCCTTTTTTTTGATATTATCCCCCGTGAAGAGTTCCTGTGCAGGCTTTTAGCGAGATTTGATGGGTCGCATAGACTAGATACTGCTTGCTTAGTGGGATCGTGATACGCTAGACCCACTATTTATCGATTCTCTAGCCAACATTTTGCCTTACTGTGTTGGGGGCGGATTCTGAATCAGAGTCCCGAGCTATATCGCACTAAAAGCTTAAGGGAGGAAGAAGAGACTGGATAAACTGGGCTGACTTGAAGTGATTTGGAGTTTGCCCGGTAGATATGATATTAAACTTTACATTAGATGTGATGGTATATCGATAGAGCCGATTGATGCACAGAAAGGTGAACGGAAAAGAAAGAACGAAAATCAACCTATAAGAGGCTATGCTGGACCGACCATTTCTATGCCCGATACAATTCCTTCCTCAGCACTCGGGGTCTGACACTATGCGCCTGCCCCTCTTTGATACTAAACGCCCATTCATCCACGCCAATATTCCCCACCTTGGATCCATCGACACTGAGCCAGGACTGACAGGTCGAAGAGATAACTCCCTTAGGTCGCACAGATACACTGTAGTCGAATACAGACCGAAAATATACATTCTTCTCGGCTTCTCCATCTACCTTCTCCTCAATGCCAGTGGGATATAGTCTAACAGCTAGACCTTGAAGGCCTGAAAGAGCTCTAAGTGACTGAAAAAAGTCAACCCCATTGCTCACCCATTCGGTAACCTGGAGTCCAGGCTTATAGTGATCAGTCGTAATCTTGACTGTCCAACTCACCTCCGGGGCTCTATATGTTCCCGCAAAGGCTCTGTTGGCTTCCTTCTGTGCAGCCTTGTCGAAGGCAGGGAATAGCCGATCAATGATTAGGTCTGCCAAGGCGTATACGTTCGGAAGGGGATTTGTCGGAAGGTCAGCAGCTGTTATCACGAAACCAACTTCCCACTCTGGAACCAGTACAATAATATCGCTGTAGGCTCCGAGATTACCGGCTTTGGCGTAGATATCGATGGCGTGATTGGATCGGTTTGGTAGTTCGTAACGGTAGATCTCCCAGGGAGCCCCGACGGAGGTTTTGAAGCTGGTGGTATAACTTGATGGCTTCAGCTAATGACGGATCAGAGTGGATGAGATGTTCAACGGCGAGGAGCCCGAAAGGGTTTGGAGAATGGCCCGGCCGATAAGGACAAGATCATTGGGACTTGAGTATACACCCCCGAAGCTACTACCCGTTAGCTCTGGTATCTCATTAAGGAGGAAGTAGCTTACGCATCGCCGTCACCTAAGTCGAAGTTCCATACACTGACCGTCTCGTTCACTGGGATTATCCCAAAGTTAGGGTCTTTAGGGGTTGAGCAAACTTGTTGAATTGAGGTCCAGAGGCTTCACAATACTGTTCTGAAACATGGAGGGAAAGTCTAGTCCGGTAATATTCTCCATCACGTAGCGCAAGAGCTGATAGGCTGCATTCGAATAGGCCGGCGCCATACCTGGCGGAAACGTCAGATGTTCCTTAACGAGCCCAAAGATGAAGGCTTTCGCACTTTAGAGAACATTGAGAACGTATCGATTTCACTAACCTTCTCTGTCGCAGGGATTGGCCTGATTCAAGGATTCGCCCTGGCTGCAAGACGGGACATCCTCGGAGGGAACTGAGGGAAGACCCATTGCCATCATTTCCGCGTTGCTATATTCACCCGCTAGATCCTCGAACCCGTCTATAGGCTGTCATTAGATCTGTTATATGCACTTGCGGAAAGTCGTGGAGCAACTTACAATCATGAGGCATGCCACCGAGCTGTGCTGCCAGATCCCCAACGGTAATCTCGCGCCATTGAATGCGGGAACTGCGTTTGTGAGCCAAACTATCTAGTTCTGGAATGAAGTTGATAATAGGATGGTGCCAGTGGGTAAAGCCGTCATGTGCCAGTAGAGTTAGAACTGTCAACATCTTGGAGATACTGGCAACCCGATAAATGCTGTCTAGAGTCGGGTATTTGGTACCAGAACCTGATGCAGGACGGTACGTTGGTGAGGTGTATAGATGCTCATAGACTGACTCTGACGTGTGCGCTGAGAATACCTTGACTCCGAACGTGGTGGTGTTGATGGTCAACGGGCCGAGATCAGTCATTCCACTAGCCATGGCTGCTTCAATCGCTTGGGTGAGATTTTGGGAAGCCATCTTCACGTCGCTGCTGGAGAGAAGATCTCGGGGAGGCGGATACAAGGGGGTTTGCAAGGGGCAGGCCTCTTCAGAGTAGACAAGGGTCAACAGCAGAAGTATAACAAAGGTGAAGAGTTGACGAGCTCGCAGTAATAGTATAGATGCCATGATAGCTGTACTTGATCATGGATGACCTGCTATTGGTTATTGGCGGTACTTGTTGAAGAGAGCGGGTTTATAATGTCATGGACTGGTGTTGTCCTTGTTGAAGGTTGCCTATATATGTGCATATACCATCCAGATCCATAGACAAGCTCATCATCCTGCCGAGTTAAACAGTAACAACGTGCCCATGCTAGGCAGAGGGATTTTCGTACATCATCACAGCGTTGAACGTGAGATTCGCTAGAGGCAGTCCCGTTATACCTGGAGCCGGAAAACACAGTGTTGCAACCTGTCTATCGCCAATTACTTTGAACAGCATCTGAGCGACCGTTTGGTCGCGGCCGACACGGGAAGATTGATCACTGCTGTTCAGTGGCTCTGGCTAGACTATCATAATCTCAACCGCCATTCTAGTCTAAATATTGGAATCCCTGTTGCCTTCACGATGTGGCTACGACTGCAGCACTCTGATCGCCTTCCACTGAATCATAACATCACTACATTCAGTCACAACAAAGAACAACAGAAAATGACTCCCATATATAGCAAAATGCTGGGGCGATCTGTGAAGCTATCTGTGACTGCTTCAGCCAGAGATACTATCCTCTCTAAGGTGAGAGTATGGTATTCCATTAGCTCTTTCGTGGGATCGAGAAGACATTTTCCCCCGATGATCGACAATGATAGAAAGTACGCATAAAGGAGATCTGCGCCTCTCTTGTCTTCACTACTACGCTGGTCAAACATGCCTCTATAGAAAGGCTCAAATGCTCGTCGAAATTGCCTCAGCTGAGAATTGAGATTAGACAGGCATTGCGCGAGAGGTTCATAGCTGGCTCTGGCTTCTGCCGGGGGAAGGAGTTTAATGGTGGTAGGGAACTGGACGACATCAATGAACCCCATGTCCTTCGAGCATCACGAAGATCTTCAAATGCTTTCATCTCTTCCTCACCCCACTCCGTCAGGGCCGGGGTTGGCTTTAATGGGGGTACCAAGCCTCCCCCGCTAAAGTATGCTGCCTGTATATCTAAGAGGGAGAAAATATCAACGAGACACTGCTCTAAATCTATCGCAGACGCACAAGAGGATCGGGCAATCGTGGAGTGTTATGCAGGGTCCACAAGCCGCTTCGCGGATGCATGCAGGCGGTTTCATTTTTCCCACGCAGAAGTTCACATAATATAAATAGAAGGCAGCATACAACTATAACGTGGCGAAGGTCTAGGTCCTGATACGCGGAACGTACATTTAGAAGCGCGCATGCCCTTCCGCATTGCTCGATCGCAAAACGATGTCAATAGTTCCTTAGATCTTCTGTGGCTAACGGCATACCACGGACCTCGAGTTCAGTTTGCATCGAACCGATCGCTATCACAGCGTGGTACTCATCTGCAGAACCGACCTCTGCCACAAGTCCGAGTCGAAGAATCCAATGATTGCTGGAACGGTACGATGTTGGAAGAACGAAAAGCATCAGCGCTCGTCAGACGTTATCTTCCCAGCTTGGTGGGATAGAAGTATCGATTTGGCTGACCCAAAGTTCGGCAATCGAGTACGAGGCAGCCGCTGTATATCATAGCCTTCGCACTGTCGCCCGCTGGATGTGCAGTTGTGACACCATCCCGGCGTCTCGTCGCATTTGATACGGCGTGTCCTTCAACAGTCGGCGGTTAGCTGATCAGCTAGATCAGAACATGTGGACACTGTCGCTCACCGGCAGGTACGACATCCGGCTTTGGATATTGGAACAAATCTTCATTTGCGTAGCTGTTTCGCAATCGGCGGCTTTGTCTCCAGATCCATTCTGCGCATTCGGTTAGTATTGGGAATTCATCGGGCATTTCGGATAGGATTGTTCGCGAGATCATCAGACAGGTGTAAGACAACTCACACAGTAGGCTCCAACTGACTTCAGCCCACTATTTTCTTCATTGGGATTAATTATACGTCTAAGCTCTAAGCCCCTAAGGCGTCAATGTATTATTTGCTCCTCTACCCCTTCTCGTGGGGGCGGTTTTTTGGAGATGAAGTATATAAAGACTGAGTGATGTACCCAAGATCTCCCCATTCAAGCCTTACGCCATTGTACCTTCACATCCTACATATACAACTGGCTCAGCCCAGAGTGTATATATCTAATATAAGTTGAATATGTCAAATATATTCTTCACTTGTGCAACATCGATCACGGAACAAACTTCCCCTTGTGACATTGCGAATCCCATTCCTCCGCAGAGGTTATCGTGGCCGTGGCGCGGTTATCTAGTGCTAAATTGATCAAGGACCGGTCTAAGGTATCCAAGTTAGTAATCAATAGATGATATAGCGAGCATACATACTCTGCGAGGTAAACTGCGGCCACCCGTATGCATGTAACCCGTGCCAGGGGTCTTTAGCAAAGGCCACCCAGGCGCCTAGATGAGTTAGTGATGATTCATGTGTAATAAGATAGTCGTACCTTGAATATATTTACTCGCTGCAACTTCTCCCGGACTAGGGCTCTTAATCGTTGACTTGTTGTACGTTCCAAAGACAATGGGTACATCACTGGAGTGGTACGCTCCGAGCCATCGTGTTGGGCTCATATTCGACCAATTTCCGTGGTACAGATATCGCCAAGTTGGAATGTCTTGTCCGAGACGTTCAGTCGTAGTTTGGACAATGGGACAGTTGAACGTCTGCTGTGTCGCAGTATATACTAGCGTCTCATTAATGGATTTCGAGCTTAAATTAAAGTACGCTGAGGCTTCACGGTTGGCGCCTCCAATTAACGTCGGCTGGGGATGTTAGACCATGACTTTCCATTATCCATCGCTTGAATATTTGTAACGCGTTGGACGCTTACCAGACGGGCGAGCCCGCCCTGCTTAGAACGGGCTTCGATGTCGGGGAATACCGTTACGTTGTCTTGCACCGGATTAAACTTGTAGGGCCCCGAAGACACCTCCTCGAGGATCTCTTCCCATGGCTTTGTTTGCATGCAACTTAGGGTACTGCATCCCAAGGCGCTAGATAGATTCTTCCAATTTTGATGGTGGACATCGTCACTTGTAATTAAGCCTGCGGCGCCGGATTGCATAGCAACGGCGTGAACAATGGGATTTTTCGGATACTATATGGAAAGATAATGTTAAATTCTTTGTTTTTTACGCATCAAGCCAGTCATGATACCAACCGCGTAGGTATATAGGTCTGCAGAAGCTGCCCCGGCGCTCTGACCAAAGAGCATTATCTTGGAGGGGTCTCCACCGAATTGAGCGATATTACGATGTACCCATTCAACAGCGAGTCTCTGACTCATTAGTGCTTGTTACAGATTGAGATAAAATATACCAATTCTAGTAACCAACCTGATCGAGGAGTCCAGCATTTTGCTGTGCAAGATCGGGTGCATTGGGGTACCCGAAAACAGAGACACGATAACTGTAGTGGTAGTGAGGATATGCGAGCTCCTGCATTATTCCAGTTGAAAATAACTCACTTAAATGAAACGACGATTATATCCTCGTTGTCCTCAACCAGGTTCGTACCATCGTAGAATGCGACCGCTGTCCCGCCCTGAGTGAAAGCTCCGCCGTAGGTGAACATCATCACCGCGGCCTTGCCGCTTTGCTTCTTATGACTAGCCGCGGGCGCCCAGATATTGATCGCGAGGCAATCCTCCGACATGTTGTCAGTGTCCCACGGCAGGTATGGCAAGACACTCCAGACCGACTCGTTGGAGAAGGTATACTGTCCCGGGCAAGTTGGTGGGAACGACGAAGCATCGATACGACTATTGAAACGCTTCCTCGGAATCGGCGGCTTGAATCGGGCTGTTCCTGTGGGTGGCTCGGCAAAGGGGATGCCTAAGAACGCCCGTACGGATTTCGTGGAAGTGTTATAGATTCCCTCCACAGGGCCACTGGTAGTTTCCACGTGAAGTTCTGAAGCGAGCGTGCATGATGACAGAAGGGCCACTACGAGAGCAACTTGGTTGACAATTCTGAAGCTGACCATGGTGAGTTCTCTGGGACAATATCTGCAGGCGTCATAGCTAAGGAAGAACAAGCAATAAGTACCCCAGGGATGGCCAAAAGCGGGGGATGTGGAGAACGGCTGAGACTATTTATTGATCGTCGAATGATTCGAGGACTGAAGTTTCTCCGCATATTATGTTTAATTGGATCTCGGAAAGTATCTTTGCCGCTATTCACACATTGCTAGCCTGATCCACTGTTTACAAAACGTATGTCATCTCTCTTATACCACTCGAAAATCCCTCTATTCTCACAAAGAGATACTGTTTAGATCTTCGCCATCAATCTATTTGGTGTGGATCTCCCCCTTCTATTTTGCGTAATATTTATCGACTTCCCTACCTCTTTCAATGATCCTGCTCTTGCTTTTAATACCTTTCAGCTGCCCAAAGGATCGGCCATCCGAAATGCTGTGTGAGAGGTATCAACATGGAGATCATCAGACCGACATGATCAACAGCCCTAGACTGTTTTCACCCTGTCTAAGACTACGTATGTATAGAAAAGATGGAAGTAAATCTCTTACAGTCTTTAGTGTGAACCCCCCAAATTCAACAACTCCGCCAAAGCATAACATAAGAGGTCCTCCTAACCTTGTAGGCACTTTTGGGGGGTTATTAAAGTTGAAGCGATGCAGAGTGAATAATTATACGGAACAACATTTGCACCCAGTGTGTTAGGATATCTCTCTTGTCTGAGCTTGCAAGTGGGTATTGGTACCCTCAGAGATCTGAAGGTGAGAGCAAAGCTGGAAAAAAAGAACGTCCCTCCCACGGTATGATCATACTTGCGGAGCCCACTTAGGAGCTAGCCGGTTAGACCTCCAAAGTTCAGGGTTACGGACATACAAAGACGTTGCGAGAGCGTCAGCCGTATCAGAGCGAAGTGACTTCTATTGGTAGGATGACTTCAGACGGTCCGGGACGCTTGCTTGCGTAAGGAACACAACAGGTTTGAATTTTGTTAAGATCGGTTAATGTTGTATATGTGACTGGAGTTTTGCAGTTCTCTAATGATGTCCTCTAGCTGTATCGCACATTCATGTCAATACTATCCCTAAGTTGCAGACGGTAGTTTGACTCAGTCGCTAGCAAGAGACACAATTGCCATTGAGAGATCACATCCGTATGGAGACCTATTCCTTTGCACGAACGCCCATCGGATTAGCTAATCGGACGTGGGTATGACGGAAAGGCAATGCCTTTTTCCGAGGATTAGGGTGAGACAACCCGGAAAGATGCATCCGAGATATGAATCATCGTGGCCATTCCGGGGTTCGGGGATAATGAGCCCTACCAAAAACAGTAATTCCGAGGATCAGATAACGGAACACGCTGAGGACGGCAGTTGTCTGGCCAATGAGAAGCCAGGGCAGAGTCTTTTTCCGCTCTAAATCCCTTATCTGATCGAGTACATAAAGAGGTACGTCCAGGGACCCCCCTGAACTCTTTACTAATTTTCTCTACATCCAGGGTACACCAAAATGGCCAGCCCACTTAGAAATATTATCATTATTGGAGGGTCTTATGTGGGAAAGGTTGGTCACGTCCATAGACTGAAGACTCTCTATCTACCTTTTCCTCTAACATGAAGTTCCGATTCAGACGACAGCCCAAGAGCTCGCCAAGGTGCTACCAAATACGCATAGGGTAGGCTTAAATGTCGTAATCCTACGGATGTAGCCTTCTGACACAATGGGACACAGGTCCTCTTGATCGAGCCCCACAGTCATTTCCACCACCTCTTCACCTTCGTAAGTATGCACGATCTCAAGGGCCTCACTGATTTAGCTGACCAAGACATCTCCTCACCAGCCTCGGTTCGCTATCGTCCCAGGACAAGAACATAAAGCCTTTATTCCGTATACTGGGCTCTTCCCTACCTCTTCAAACCCAGTGCGACATGCGATTGTGCAAGCCAGGGCCCTATCCGTACAACCACGGCATGTAATATTAGATCGTGAATGGCAAGGCTCACGCCAAATCCCCTTTGACTACCTCGTTGTCGCCACTGGTACTAATCTCGTTCAACCGGCGGGTATGAGGAGGGATGACAAACTCTCCTCCGTTGCATATCTACAGAATCACCAAAATGACGTGAAATGCGCCAAGTCAATTTTGATTGTTGGCGGTGGTGCAGTCGGCGTGCAGATGGCCACGGATTTGAAGGAGTATTATCCGGATAAGGAGATTACTGTCGTGCAGTCTCGCCCCCAGTTAATGCCCGGGTTTCACGAAGGGCTGCATAATCTCGTGAAGGAGCGGTTCGACGAGCTTGGTATCAAGTGAGTATAGCCTATTTCCGAGCAACGAGTATATACCTTTATCTAACCATATTTTACCAGATTCGTCACAGGGTCTCGCGTCAAGATCCCCTCTGAGGGATATCCCAAGCACAGAGGGTTATTTAACGTCGAACTCACCAATGGAACACAATTGTCGACAGAGTTCATGATTCTGGCTACTGGCCAAACACCGAATAACAACCTTATCTGCGATCTCATCCCTTCAACGAAGGAATCGCTGATCAACCCCGATAATGGCTTTATCCGGATTAGGCCCACGATGCAATTCTTGGACCCCCAGTACTCTAACCTTTTTGCAGTCGGTGACATTGCAGATACCGGGCTGCGCAAGGCTGCTCGACCCGGCTCGGCACAGGCAGCGGTTGTTGCGAGGAACATCCAGGCATTGATTGAAGGGAAGAATCCCGAGGATGTTTTTCCCCGAATGCCCGCGGCGATTCATCTCACGCTAGGAATGGTAGGTTCTTTTTGCAATGAAGATTCTACGTCTACTATGCTAATACTCGCCGCGCGTAGAAATATAATGTGATCTTCCGGAATCCAAATGAGGCAGAAGGACAGACTGAGCCCACTATTATAAAGAAGTTTGAGTAAGTGGTCTCTTTCCCGGTTATGTTCCTATAGCTAACAATGAATGAAGTGGAAAAGAGGATATGAATGTTGAGGCGTTTTGGGAGCGTCTGGGAGTATCGATCGAGAGCTCAAATCAGTATCATCTGTAATCGGCTCTGAAGTTTTCGCGGGTTAATATGTACATACATGATGGCCTGCTTGGTTTCACGACGTAGCTAGAGGCTACTTGTCCTGAGCACCATGAAGAGGTACAAGCCTTGCTTAGGGTGTTATACACAGGGCCCGTACAACTAGGAGTGCTGGTGCTGGGGATATACTTGTAAACAAAAAAATCTTGTATACATCCTAGATACCTAGGATTATTAGCTCTCTTCTTTACCTAAGTTAATTTAATTATCAGCCCTGTCTGTCACGGGTAAGCCTTAGGCTTAAGGCCCCGATGGCAAGTTGCGATACTATATGTACCGCGCCTGGGAAATCAACTCCGATTAGAGTTGATCATAGTGGATCTTTTTACCTAGTGGAAAGATCCTACGTATCGAATTGCTAATCCCAGAAGTAATCCTTTACAGTCAAGGAGTAAAAGAATTGGCAGAGTAGTTGTATTAATGCTAGCCTGAATCTTTTAGAATGTCTCTTGTTATTATTATTATTATTATTATTATTAATCAAGTTTAACGTCCATATCGAGCCGTTGGCTATGACAGACACATGTGCCTAGGCGGTGGCTTAGGCCACTGCCTCTAAATGGTTCCTAGGGGACCTATCAGCCCCCTCTATCATTTGTGTGCTCGTTCTAATCCTTTTCCTCGCCCGAGCCGCCTATCTGCGCCAGAGCTTTTAGGCTATGCCCTCCTCAGTATTCAGCACTTGTTGGGCATCATCTAGGCGTGCCTAGATTGCTCTTTTCCACTATCCTCCCCCTCTACTCTCTGCTTCTTCTACTAGTTCTAGGCCCTAAAGATTATTCCTAGGGGCTCTATCTATCTCCCTAGCTGCCTCTCCTGGGAAGCAGCCGATATTTATTGTTGCCAAGAAGATCATTAGGGCCTTCATGGCCCTTTGATTCTCAAAGAGGCGGCATTCTGGGGCTGTTTCTCCCTATCCAGGTGGTGATACTCCTGCCATGACTAGTGCCATGTACAAGGCCCGTCTCTGGTGGCGTCATTGTCTACATTCCATCAGTAAATGGCCTGTTGTTCCCTGTGGAGAGTGGCAGCTTTGACATCTAGGTGAGACTCGGATCCCTATCTGATTCAGGTAGGTTAGTATTGCTACGTGCCCAACCTTAAGCTGATAGTATCGACAAGCGAGCTGCTTTGGTGCTGCTCCTGCCACTGGATCTAGTTTCCACCCTTTCTGGGTTTGATAGCGCTGTTAGGCCCTGTAGGATCGTTTCTCCAGAATGTCACCCTCTTTCATTGCTTTCCTTGGCTCTCTGGATGAACACTATACAAACCTCAAAGACAAGCCTCAAAGAGTATAGAAAGAATTTAAAGAAATAGTTTTCTCAATGGCCCTTGGTCCATCACAGCGTGGATGTGTAATTCCCATTCCCTATCCCCTGTGCCATGCTCTCAGGGTGCTCAGGGTAAAGCATGCAGCCAAAAAAAAAGCCGAGCATGTACGCACCACCTTATTTGTTATATAAGGCTAGGCTTTTAATATTTATTATTACTAATTTGTTTAAAGGTCCGTTCAAAGCACTTACCACACCTCTCTTTTTTAATTAATGATATATTCAATTATTTTCTCTCTCTCCTTTCACTCAGGAATCTTATTCAGTTCACCGCACTAGTGCAGCTGTGACTACAAGCCATACAACTCCCTTTAACTACTATTGAACTCGATATCCCTTCTGAATTTATCTTCTGAATTTATCCTTTCCATTGCAGAACAGTGCGACGACCCACAAGATATCTTCTCTTTTGCATGTATCACGCGGGGTACTTATAACATCCTATGAAGACTACTTTATTAATCCTGTGCTAAGCAACAAGACTGCTCAGCTTTATATTATACTGCAAAGTATAATAAATGGGAGGTTGTAGAGGAACTCCTGAAATATGGTGCTCAAAACAAGCACTGCTCTTATTATTGCCGCAGCATTTAGGTCTGAGTCCATGATTGACCTGTTATTAAGCTGGGAGGGTGTTGACATGAATGCCCGAAACGTGCATGGGGAAACTGCGATATGGCATGCAGTATATGCAGGAAAGATGCCTGCAGTTGTGAGACTGTTGCGATACAAAGGCCTCCATATCGATGTTTAAGATACTTTTCTTAGAATGACACCACTTGCAGTAGCAGTAGCCAACAAGTATATAGATATTGCCAAAATCCTTCTTGCTACTAACAAGGTTAATATGAATTCTCGAGATAAGTATGGTAGGATGCAACTCTATCATACAGTTGTCTTAAATATTATGGCCTCTGTTTTGCTGCTTCTCTCCAGAAGAGAAGTTAACCTCTACATACAGGACCAGTCCCAGCGCACTCTCTTATGGTATGCGGCTGAATGCGGAAGTATTAATGCAGCTTAACTTCTCATAGCTCACGGTGCCAATCCTAATATAGGTGATTTCCATGGCATAACTCTACTACGCAATGCTATCCTGGAACGCGATATGGCAATAGTAAAATTACTGCTGGACCAACAAGATCTTGAGATTTTGCCACGTGTTGGTCAGGTGAAGTAGGCCTAACCACCTCTATGTACTGTCATTTGTGCCCGAGACATAGAGATTCTGAGTATGCTACTTCATCATGGTGCATATATTGATACCTATAATTACTCTGGGTACTAACCACTTTATTTAGCAGTATAGAATGGGGACATGTGCATGGTTAAACTGCTTCTCAGCCACAATAATACTAATGTGAATGAGATAGTAAGAAATGTATCTGAATTTACTGTACTTTACCAAGCAGCGTGCAACAGACATCTTCCGATAGTAAATCTATTACTCTTGTAGGCAGGTATTGATATTAATGCCGGAGACACGGGGAAAAGAACCCTACTTTAATAGGCAACTATGAAAGATTATTCCAGGGTCACTAAACAGCTTCTAGCGGAGAGTAATTTGGAGTTAAACGCAACCAGTGATGGTTAATCAACGCCTCTTCATTATACTGTCAATGGCAGTAATAGGCTGATTATGCAGTGTCTCCTAGCTGAGAATGCTCTCGACCCAAATGTTACCAATAAAGATAGGCTCATACCACTTGACTGTACAGCAAGGAATGGTGATAGGATGATGATGGACCTTCTACTCACACAGGAAGACGTATAAATCAACATCGGTAGTTGTAAGCCACACTTGTCTATCGCCTTAGCAGTGGAAGGACAACATTTCAGTATAATGTTGCGGCTACTCGCTATGCCCATGCAGCTAAATTGATGATAGTGTAATGATAAGGTTCAAGCTCTATCCTTTCTTCTTAATATTATGTCCTTGATAGTAGAGGCTTAGCGCGGTCATAAACAATTGTATAGGAAGCAATGGTTAAAGTCAAAGTATATTACTCTGCTTGCTTTTATGGTAATTCAGCGAGTTATCAAAGATTTTATTTATTCCAATTAGCAGGAGTTCGTGCTCTAACACTTGTGCAAGAAATTCCAGCTGGAACATGAACTATGTCCCCTTTCTAGCTTAGCCTCATTGTTCGGTTATCTCGGAATCTGAAAATATAGCGATGACGCATCGTGAACCATGCAATCACTCAATTTCATACTTGTGGGGGCTCGCAGGGGTTTGAAGATCTGCATTGAGTATATAACAAAAGGCATATATAAATAACAATATATTATTTTCATGGACAGTCGCTTAACTATCTATATGCGTCACTTGATAGTATATATTGTGAGCCAAGGCTCGATCAAGTAAACTATAGAGCTTCATCTAGGGAATAAGTTCCGTATAGAGACAGATTGATTGGAAATCAATCTGGTATTCATGTTATATATAAACCCACAAGTTTATAATAAGAAAATGGAACAATCAATCTTTCTCTGAATTACAACAGTACAGAATACTTGAACTTCTTGAGACAGATCTCCTGATTATTATATTCTCGCAACTACTGTATACTTATCAACATGCAATTGATATAATCAAGATTAGCTGCAAAATGTTGAAGGGGCTTTTATGATCTTCATACTGAACTAATATCTGACGTCCTTGTTAGCCTTGTCTAGTTCATGCTACTCTTTTCCGGCAGGGACCTTATAGCTTGCCTCGCTTCTTGTCACATGTAATTATACCAGAAGTAAAAGCTATTTAATCTACGGAAGCGCCATTATTTTATAAGCTTGGTTTCAAGAATAATTTATTTGTTTCTATTATAATCTATTGCTTATCTCGGTTTATTCTTCTTGAGACATTGATAGATGGCAACAGGATCTACAGCGTGACCAAGCATGGACATGGCACCAAGCCTGCCGACTGCCTCCTCCACCTTCTTAATAGTAACAAAACAATTTCCAGTGGAATAATTATTTTCTTAAGGGCATGTGCCTAACCTCCCTTATATTAACCCCACAATTTTGAACGTCCTACAGGCTAGCGACTCACATTTAATACACAGATTGGACAATAATGGGCTATGTCAGTGTAAGAATAAAAGCACAAAGAGCTATTAAGTATATATCATGGCTATCCCTATATTTAATATCCTTCTACAGAGTATTTATACATATTTTAGGTTAAGTATCTATAATAGCAACTCTACTCTTATTATCATATATTGTATATATTGGCTGTATCCTTGCAGGGTTTCGGCATGACTCGTGCACAGGGCAGACAACTCATACTTGCATTTTCTCGCATTCGCCCTTATTCCTAAACTACAATGGAGCATAAATAGTCAACACATTTTCCACCTCCCCTTTTTTTGCCCTGAGTCCCTAAGCACTTGCTTTCTACCGTTCATTCACATACTGTATTACCGAAACCGATTCACTCTAAACATGGCGAAAAAGAAGGGTTCCCTCAAGTATAAAAGTATTGAGAAGATATTACAACCTCTAATGACTTGCTAAACATATTCACTTATTGACTACAACCAGCCGAAACCACTGTAAGCTTTCATGGCATATTAGAGACACACATATTATTCAATAGATAACTGACTTTTTTTTTTTCTTTCTTTACCATGGTAGTCCGTATGAACGTTGCATTGCAAGACTTCAGATTGGACAGAAGGAGTATTCTATTCTGGAGAGTTACCTCGATGATTACCTACAGTTGGAGTGCAATTCTCTTTTCTATCTATAGGTTATACTTTCGGGTGTTGATAAGGACATTGGTCACACTATTGTCTACTTTTTATATACGGGAGGATATGAAACTCTTAGATCCGCTTCTAGCCCGGATTCTATACCAAGAGAATTTAAGCGTAGCGTCCAAGTCTACTATACTGCCATGGTCTATAGAATTCATGGTCTGGCTGTACTTGCAAAAAAGTATATTGAAATTCTCGGTGAATGTGTGCCTATTTTCGACATATTTTTCGACATACTGCAGGCAACTAGGACAGTATTTTCAAGAGTTCCTGATAATAAAAGCTGGCTTCGCAGCTATATATACTCAAAGCTTCAGAGAGTATTTCTGGCAGATGAATCAACATTCAAAAGTAATGAATTTTATCAAGAATTTAGAGAAGATTATCTGTTCAATGTGGTGTTGATAAGGATGCTTACCAATATCTACTCTGATACCATATCTTCCCTGCGCCATGAAGATCGGAAAAGCCGGGCCGACCACTTTACAGACAATGAAGGTAGGTTGAAAATTATTCCCGGAGATTGGTATCTTAGAAAGCAGATATTTACTAAATGAAATCATATAGTTGAGTCTTCCAGGGAATCGCGGACGGTCCCAGGCAACCAACCCATTGAATCAGGTGCTATTGAAGACAAACCCATACCTGTTAAGGTATGTGTGTCTGAGGCACCGGGTCCTGAGCCAGATATCCCTGAAGACAAACCCATACCTGTTAAGGTATGTGTGTCTCCGGTACCGCGCCCTGAGCCGTACGCAATTAAGGGTCAGGATGACAGCATTGAAATACAGCATCCGGAGCAGCCTTACTCCGAAGAGGGCTCCGGGCCTATTGTCTCGATGCGCCCTGAGGACATTGGTCTATATGTTAACTGGACAAACCTGGAAATAAAGGAGAGGAAGAGAAGAAAGAAAATCCTCAGACGGAAAAACCTTCCAGTTCCAAACCGAGATAGTACCTTTTCATAATGCCGCTGGGAGTTTCAGTAGGGCTTGAATGAGCGGCAGCTTTATATGTGCCTACGACTTAGTGATTACAGTATGCTATTAGTGCAATGAATTAGCTTAATTGAGCATATAATATTAACACTTCATGCAATCACACGAAACTTCTTTTACTGCTCTCCAGGTAAACCATGCCTGAAAATGCACAGAGGCAAGGAAACGCATTTGTCGAAAGATATAGTATATTATATTTTAATTTTCTAATCCCATCGTTCTGGCGTTTGACATTATTCTGAAAGGATAAATGACAGTTTCTCTTTTTCCAGCGTCGTTTGTACCGCCGGACGCGCCTCCAAATTCCTGACCAGCGCAGCATACTTGGGATAAACCGACATGTCCTCGCCGATTATTGCCCCCCACCGATAGAACACGTAGAGAAATGGATCAACGGCCGTGAAATAGTCGCCCACGGCATGAACCCCCTGCAATCTTCCCTCAACATGCTGGAAGCATTCTGTCATCCTCTCCCGCGCTTTAAGCTTGACGGCCTCCAGGCTCGTAGGATCAGTCGCCGTAGTCCAGCGATCAGGTCGAAATAAATGGCCAAAGGCTCCGGCATGTAAAGTCCCGGACAGGTAATTCATCCATTCATACACACGGACAGTATCCAGGGCACCCCTTCCCATTAGCCCTTTCTCGGGCGCGAGACTGGAGATAATTGTGGCCACGGCGGGAAGCTCAGTGACGACTTCCTGGTTAACCGCAATCACAGGAACACGCATCTTGGGGTTGATGCGGTGGAAATCTTCCGAGAATTTGACCTCGGGGCCATTGTTGATGACCTGCACCGGCTGGTAGTCGGCTTCAATCTCGTGCAGGAGAATGTGTGGGCAGAGCGAACAGGCGCCCGAGGCGAAGAAAAATTTGATTTCGGGCATTTTCTTTTTGTCGCCTTTGGATTTGAACGGAAATTATACAGTGGCCGGTCGAGGACCATTGACACAACATATATTTGACTCGGATATACTCGTGTTGACGGTGATTGCTAAGCATCATCCGTAATTCCGCTGTTCAACGTCGGCCAAGACTTTCCCTGCTAATAACAACAAAATATCGGAATCCTATTGTTGGCGCCGCTGTTTGTCCTAGGGCCTAGACTTCCAGGAGCCCTGCACATGGAACTGTTATTAATAGCTCTAAATTAATTTTGTTCTTCCAGGCCCGGTTATAAATTCGCACTCTCAGGTTGCTTTATTACAGGTCTTATTGAAACCCCTAGTCAGTGTTCAATGTATTAAAGTAGAACATTAACATTTTTACTATCCGGATCTGTGGCTGTGCTCGTTCATACATGGGAATTCATGCTCTAAGCCATGCCACAGGGCCTGAGCGGTGTAGCTTGTGCGCAGGGGAGTTCATGCAGAGAACAACGACAACCTCTTTATCCCTCTTCTGCCTATTTGGACTGGCGAGGCTTTGATGCAGGACAGAAAAAAACCCTTTCATGGGCATCTAAATACGCGCCTCTCATCAAACACCATACCGCACTATATCACCTGACGAGCGGCCCCACTTGACTGAAAACTTGAGTTTGACATATTTTTAATATCTTTTAAGAGCTATATCTTTACTAATATAGCTTTAATTAGCTAATAAAATAATTATAAAGAATTTATAGAAGTAGACTTTGGTTAGCAGGTCTCCATACAGAAGTCCGCAAGTACTTTCTATATATATTGTCAGAGCCTATGGGAGCCTAAGGCAGCAACCACGTGACCTGACCACAACACCAAGGGATCTCTGTATGATAGATTTAGACCTTAAGACAATCAATCCCATTACACGTGAGCTACACCAGCTCCATCATATATTAATCCTGATAAATTGATATCGAGCCTTCGTGCTGAAACTTAAATTAGATCCTAAGAAAAGAACGCGGGATCTCCAGATTATTTAACTTGAATTCTGATTCGGACAGGAGCTCTGTGAGTAGTTAGCTGCTCTTGCGTAGCGAGAATACAAACCTGCGATCAGAATCCGCTGATCCAGTAGACAAGGAAGTGTGGTAGTGCTGGTATATCACGATAGTAACCTTGTCCAAGGTTGCTCTAGGGTTAACCGAAGTCCACGGACAGCTCAAGTCCAAGAGGCCAGGCCTACTAAGTACGTATACCCAGTAGTTTAAGGAAGTGCGAACGAGTCGAATACTAACTTGATACCAAAGGTGTATCCTAAGTAACAATTTGGATTGATCACGAAGAACCAAACTAAGTACATGAATGAGTGTCTTTATATATCCTCTGCTAGCTACTCCTGTAGTGGCTCCCTTGGGGGTAGGCTTGGGGGTATATCCGATCCCTCACGCGCGTTCCCGTATACTCCTCCGTATACTCCCTGGGGGTAGGTGATGGGGTATGTATCACGTGATCTGTTAGCTAGAGCTGCTTTTCTTATCCTTGTTCTCTGTGTATCTTTCCGTTATTGTAGTCCTATCGTTTTCTGCCTTGCGTGTCCGCCCTCCGATAAGGCGCGCTAGATAAGGGTCTGTACACCATCTTTGCAAAAACGGCGCCCGGGTCTCATGCTCTTTCACTCTTTTTCAAACCCTAATGTCAAGGCAGGCTAAACTACTTTTGGATTATTCCGAAATACCTTGATTCTTGGCTCTGTACTTGCACTGTATTGTATTTTACAAAAGTATCTATGACTAATAAAACTTACAGTACCTTGTTTCACATACAACTGCACCTTAACGCCCCTCCCCCAATGTACGATCAGATAGCTTCGCTCCAATATGCGCCAATTTGGCAATGTGAAGGCACCCCCCGATAAAAAAGGGTGACCACAAGGCCTTATGCCTGTTATTATTCAAGCTCTTTGTAATTATCTACTAGAAAAGCCTTATTTATACCTTAATGACATGGTGCTTTTTGTATGGGATGAGTTTCAAGAAATAGTGACAGCATGCTGTATTAGTCGTGCTCTTAAGCATAAAGGGTAGTCAAAGAAAACCGCGAAGCAGAAAGCAAGAGAACAAAATGCAGATCTGTAAGATACATACTCTTATTTAATTTCTGATTTTTGCTCATATCATCTTGTTTATATGGATGAATCTGGATGTAATAAAAGGATAGGCTGTGGAGGAACTGGCTGGTCTCCTCTTGGCAGCAGACCCTCCCAAGTGGCTAAATTCCATTGTGATCAACGGTATCAGATTCTTCTAGCCTATGCTCAAGATAGAGTTATCTTGTCCCGTGTCTTCCAAGGCTTAACTAACGCCTCTATCTTTGAAGATTTTATTGAACAACTTCTTTATCACTATGGAAAACACCCAGAGCCAAAATCTGTTCTTGTTATGGATAACATCTCCTTTCACCACTCTAAGAGAATAGAACAGATATGCACACAAGCAGGGACTAAGCTTATATATTTACCTCTATACTTGCCAGATTTAAATCCAATTGAGAAGCTCTTCGCTAAGCTAAAAGCCTTTATAAGTAGATATTGGCAAGCCTATAAAGACGACCCCAACCAGGGCTTGATTCCTTAAGTGATATATTGGAACTCTGGATGCGAGGAAACAAAGCGCCGAAGGGCATTCCCGGAATGCTGACCTGGCAATTGAGGTGTTGTAACACAGCTACACTGTATTTCAGTCTTTCTCCCAGCTATGCACCTAATAAATTGCCCCTGTATCAGTATCTATCCAATCTATTAGACTTCAAGAGAATTAACAGGGAAAAGAAAGTTTGTCTACAAAATCTACTGCTACAGAGAATTTCAGAGTATTATGCCCGACTTCTTGTAACTCTTGACATGTCACCCTAAACTTCCGACATATGTAATTTTAAGGACTACATATATAGAATAGTATCAAGACTGGCGACTTTCAAAAGCTATGATACGATAAAAGCCAATGGAACTGTTATGTATATCCCAGATTTCCTGTATTATAATATCCACATGAGTTTATGCCACTTTGATATTACCTGTAAGGGTGGTGGATTGCCTGGGCTGTCTTAAGGCTTCACGAATTCCCACTAGCTAGCGATGTATCATATAATGATCCAGCTTCAAGAACTACTGGCAGCCCTGTAATGGAATAATAACCTCCTCCATTTTCCAAAGCCTCGGTCCATCAGTGGCTTGATGTATGCTCTTGACTAATCAGAGACCATGGGGTTCATTGCTTATATCCGATCTAGACTTCATCTGGTGGACCTTATTGAGGTATATATGAGTAACAGAAGAGCTAACGGGTGAGACAGGAATGGGGCCTACCCAGATTCCGAGACTATATCAAATATGGTCGCGGAAAGATTTCCCTTATTGGGACAAGAGAGTGCAGAATTTAAACAAAAATGTACGCTCTTTCGACAGAGGTTGTATTGGGGCTGGAACTGCATATGATTGCTGTAGTGTATGGTCGTTCTATAATTTACCTGATCCTCTCAGGAGGTAAATTTGATATATCAAACACCGGGTATGTTAACAAGCATCCCTACTGTGTAACAATCATGGAGCGAAAGTTAATCTACAGCAGAATTCAGAAAATACCGACACCACACTTTAGGGATTTTCATGAAATTTTGGATACAGAATGAGGTTAGTTTCTTTGAAAATGCACTGAACAACTAGATGCAAGGGTGGAAGAGCACTTTAGCCTGCGTTAATCTACTCTGCTACGGTTAGAAGTAGCGCACTCTACGGTGATTGAAGAGAAGAAATTTAATTCTGACGAGTTGCTTCCTCTCCTCCAACCCTGTTCTTGACTGCCACACACACCGTACAGTCATACGATACACATGCCTCCTATCAAGAAGAAGGCGTGAAATTATTCTACTCATGTATATTGAGAATTTACTAGCCTGAGCAATGGGAGGTATCACCGTGCTAGCTGACCAGGCATATTTGCTATGTTCAAGAAGAAGTTATAATCTAGTAAGGCAATATGGTACATAACCATGTTTCTCTTATACAAGTTCGACTTTTTCATAAAATTGAACTGAACGTAGCTCGGTTAAGACTACATCAAAGAACCTTAGTTTCCAGAGAAAGCACAACCGGTTTACAAAGCTAAGTAGAACATAGGAAGCCATGGTAGTACAGTACAGGCTAGTACACTTGATAGAACAAAAAGCTTTAGTCGGGATCAGTGCAAGGTGAGCCAAGATGCTGAGCCGATGCTGTTTGCTCACAAAGGGATGCTAGGGAATGAAGAGCTGTGGCAGTGAGCCTCACAGAGAATGATGCTTGGTTTAAGACAACTGAACGCGCCTACATGACCTGTAACCTGGGCGCAGGACGTCCGTATGTTCCAACATGCTTTCCAGGTAAGGATTACGGCACGATTTCTGGACTAGCCCAGGTCACTACTCCTTTCCGCCGCCTAGCTTGATAGATCACTCATCAATATCAACAACTGTTCCCTTCTTAGTTGATGATGTGAGCCCATCGTCACTAGGTGAGCATCGACTTAGCATATTGGTCGGAACCGTGGATCCTGTCCGCTTAAAATCACTATCGGCGACTGCTTCACCAACATGACTTGCTTCGAGGAAGGACCGACCTGTGCATCAAACAAATCGAGCCGCCTTGGATACTATTCTCTGTTGTATGTAATCCTAAATATATCTATCTCTCGATGAAACACAACTGAACAAACTATGGCTGAGCTAGATCGCGACCGTGAGGCGATGCCGCCGCCGCGAGCAAGCCGAAGACGCTCCTCTGGACCCAGTTCGCCATCACGTCGCTCTCAATCTTCCTTCTCTGTGATCACCGAGTCCTCTGTATCTGGAAAAATCGAGTACTCTCCTGCTATGTCGTCAATTTCGAGCGATTCTTGTCCTGAGTCCGATGTGTTCTCCACGGCTACAAAAACTGAAGTTAGACGACTTGCAGGAGATCGCTGTTGGGTATGTCAATCTACAGAACCTCAGATCTGCCATGTAATCGCGAATGAGGATAAGCAAGTACGTGATACTATGACTGCTGGCTTGAATAGAATATAGATAACCATAGTTGGATAGCTGGATGTTTGGTTTGAGGCGGGCCTTCTCAACTTCTCTTTACTATCGGCAGCAAACGGAATACCTCTCTGTGCGACTTGTCACACCCAGTTTGATCGAGCTCATGACCCAGGATTCGTCTTTATACCCACCGACCTACAGTACTTTATCGATTTTGAGCTCGAGGATAGAGAGAGGAGATTAGCTAGTAATACTCTCCCTCGGCAGGTCCCAACAAGTGTCATGTACAGGGACCATTTAATGAAGGAGAAGAAGATCCCAGATGATACAACGAGTGGACTGTATCGACCAATTTTCCTGAAAGAGTACCTGCTTCAAGGTATTATCTCTGTCGAAGATCTCGGCTTCACAAAACCTAAACAGTGGCATGGGGCTCCAATTGCGACGTTACGGCGAGGTATCCTAGCCCTCGGGAGCGCTAGGATCACTTCACTTGATAAAGTGACCGTCGCTCAACTGCAAGTGCTCCGTGACCTGTACTTTCGACCGGTTGAAGATAACTCGGTAAACGTCAGAAGTAGTTTGGTCCAACCAGATATTCATTGCCAGAAACGACGTACGGATGATGATGACGATGAGCAACCTAAAAATAAGAGGTTCAAGCGGGATTCGACCAGGACAGACAAGCCAGAGCACATGGATGGTAACGACTTGGACGCCAAGCAGCATTATCTTCGTGCTTTCGAGGCAGAATGGGTTTTGGGCCCTAATTTCACCACCGAACAAATCATTCATCGGTACGCTCCTTTATTTGCTCATGATTGAGCACTTATCGACAACGGCTCCATCCATCCGTTGCTATACTTATGTACCGGGTTTCTCTGTAGCGCGCTGAGACTGATTTTTTTACTTCTGGCGAGCGTCTTCGAGCATTGATCACCGTGATCTGCTCTGAAAAATGTCGATCTGTAGCGCATTGCTCGTGGTTATGCTAGAATTACCCTGCTAGAATTACCCACATTCTTAGTCTAGGAAGGTTGACGAATGTAGCTTAATTATTATCTCTCTGTTGCCATCCCTATGTGTTCTATATTGTACTTGTATGGTGAGCCCATGCGGCGCCCTAAGCATTAGCGCAGAAGTACAGCTCAGATTATGTTGGCATTTACAAGGAAATTCGACCTTACTATTTCAGTCCACCAACCCTGAGCTTTCCTCGATATCCTGCGCGAAATGGGAGCATCAGGAGCGAACAGGGATATACTATATGATGGCGTGACCACGTACAGAGTAAAAGAAGCCATTACACCCAAACGGGGCCGAGGCGAAGGTGCCTTACCTGAAAAAAAGTAGAAGAGCTTGGGACTGTGATCCAGAGCAGCACTGGCAATGGATCTCAGGCTCAGATGAGACAGTTCGCTTTCTATATGGATTTTTTGACTGGCGGTGCGACATTCGGCGCGGTAAGTACCGCTGACATTGCCCAGGTATTGGATATAAGAGCTTGCTAGAGTCATTCTGGAAGTGGTGGCATCTTCTTCTTAAACAGAAGACAATGACGGAGTTGAGTAAAGAGATAAAGGTCAAGGTGCAAGATATAAGCAATTAATTCTCTTTTTACCCTGATAAAAGAAGAGAAGTCTGATCACTGTCAATAGATAATTGCTATTGTAGCTGAGCAGAAAGGCCTAGAACTCATAAGATAACTAAAGTAGAATATATATATTGAAGATGTCACCAAGTTTATACATGTTCTTTTAACCATAACTGAAATAATATTTAACTGTGGATAGCAGTGTATTCAATTTCTCTTCTTCAGTGGTGAGTATCTCTTGATTTTCTAATCAGACATATAGCTAATATAGTAAATAGGAGAAGTTATTAATACTCTATCAAATATTACACTACAGTATATAGATATCTGTATCTTTATCCAAATATTATAAGATTGATATTGATGTCGATATCCAAGGTATTATCTATAAGATAGATTTCTAGACCCTGCTTCTTTGCTTTACTTGTTCACTAAGTGCGTCGATTGATCCGGACTAACTATATTGGCTTTCCGCTAAAGAAGTGAATTCTCTTAATCAGCTTCCGGTAATTCATATACAGCAGGGTGCTGTAAACGAGCAAAAGCGGAAATAAAAAGACTGAAAACTAAACTTAATTATATTAGTATAGTATACTTAGCAGCTATTTACCGAGAGGCATCTTTGAGAGTCTCTGTCTGCTACAGGAAAAGCTGGAACTTCTCCAGGATTAGACACTAGAAGCGAAACGGAAACATAATAAAACTATCCATAAATTATATAAGAAGCAATGACAGCGAAACCGGCAGACCTAAGAGAATCTGGACAGTACAAGAATAAGCAGCCGTGATTAATCTTGCACACCAGCTGGCAGGAAAGCTGATAGATACAAAAGTAATGGGAGCCCTAGAACAGAGGGCAGCTCTGGAAACCCTGACGCTGATACGGGCGCCTAATAAGGCACTACTTCTCTCTCAGAGCATGATGGCGGCATGTAGTCGCGCAGGTAAGCGTACTCGCACAGCCGAACGAATGTATCTTCCTTGACCACCCCTGACCAGTCGGTTTGACGACGCTTTGCCTCCAACATTGCGCTGTTTATAAGCTTGTCAAGCGTAGATGATAGGCTGGCCAGGGGCCGAGAGTGCACAGTAATTTCCTTCCTTGCCTGGCCAATGACACAGTAAGGAGGGCCGATGAGATACACCTGCTATATATAAGCTTCTCTTAATCGGAGTTAGGGGCCTACTTGCAGGTGACTTACTTACCAAATTCGCTGTCCATCGCTGTGGGTAGAGCAAGGCTAACATGGCTCTGGTAGGATTTTGGATCGAAGGAAGGATTTTATGGGTAGTTGAGAATTGGTCAGGATAGGGTTACGATACTAATATTGCAGAACTCCACTCCCCTTCTGGATAAGAGTGACTTGGCTGCCACATCACAATCAGTGGTGCGGGGTTGTTGGCCAGCTATCGAAGCAATATCAAAGTAACTGGGCAAAGATTGCAGGAACGGGTGTGTTTCATTTATATTCTCGGTTAGGTTTGAAGATAGATTTTCATCTTGTTTGATCCTCTCACCCTCGCACCCTAATTAATGAGGATTTCAGGACGAGGAAGTCTTGCATATCCTGCAATAAGCAACCTGTATGCGGCAAGATAGAATAAGGTGGTAGTTGGGATACCACATACCACGCAGGGGCTCAACATGTTTGCATAGAGGGTTTCAGCCGTCCGTTGGCCTGTACATCCAGAGAGATACACAAAGCCTGTTAAGCCATCGATTAATTTACTGTATTCACCAGTATTGGTAAAAAAATTGGATAATAGCTGTTCCAAGATCTTACTAATTATGGGTTTTTTAAGCTGCAGAAAGATCCAGAGAGTATAAATATTTACAACATTTTTATAACTAGTTGTAGCACAAATCAGGTCAGTATTGATATTCTTGCACTAGCCTATACTGAGTGCGATCTTACACAATAGTTCTGTGGGAAAGCTCCGCGTGAATCAGCAGGTCAGACTTCTGTTGTAAATATTCTATATCATAAACTTTACATTCAATATCTTTAGCTGGCCAGGTAGGGTTTACATGTTTCTATAAAATATATTTTATAAGTAAGCCTGGCATTGTGTATTCCATAACCTGGACTTTTTAACGGGAGATTAGAATTCCCTAGACAGAGAAAGTATATCTTAGATCACTTTCTTTCAACTTGGTATGTACTGATTCCATTACCTGGCATAAGGTAATCTCAGTCTTATCCTCCACAGACAACTGTTGCTGCTTAGCAAGGGAACAGGAATTATCATTATCAGATACAGACTGATACTGTGATTAAGTTAGTAATATATGGGCTGGCCCTCTTTCACTCTGCAGAACACAGATACTGTATTTATTATATTGATCTGGTACTGATGTTCAACTTTAAGAGTAACCCCTGGTATACTGAGCAAGGCGTCAATTATTAACTATTATATACTGCGGAGACATGAGCCCTCTCAGGCTGAGTCGCTTTGGGGTGCGTTTTCCCATCCACGCACACACCAAAAAAAAAAAAAAAAAAAAACGCTTACCGAATACATTAACTAGCCTTATTAGCCCTGAAGGCTTCCTTTTCTTTCTTTTTCCGCTTCTTTTCCTTCTTGAATACCCTATACTTCTCAAAATATAATCTCTAACAATCTGCCTTGAAATAGCTCTTCTTTCCGTACTTATCGCAGTGCTTCCTGGACTTCCCAGATTGTGGCTTCTGATCTGCTGCTTGTTTCTGATTTTTCTGGCTATTACTCAGATTGGATTGCCTAGAGAGCGGTCTTGGCCTTGGTTATACTGGTATTGGCGGCGTTGAACTTTATCAGTATTTCGTCCTGCAGGAGAACTTAACTACCTTATTGTAAGTTACATCAGCCTTATTGAATTGGCTATTTAAATAAGAAGTCAAAAATACCTCCCATGTCTTACCAAGATTATAAAGAAGGGAATTGTATCTTCTGAGACTTAGGCACGGCCTCCCCTATCTTGAAACTTAATAACAACTTATTAAAAGCGCTTAAGAGCTTGGAGGAATGATCCTGAATTCCTTCCATGTTTGCCTTGGCATTAGCAGGCCTCGGTTTCTGGCCTATTGACTCTGCCTCGTGCGTCCGCCTTCGATAAGGTACGCTAGACAAGGGTCTGTAACACCTCTCTCGAACATGCTGGGCCTGATAGAAGAAAGGCACACGTACTCTACAATATCACGAGCTATAGTAAATAGGTGGACTGGTGGGTATAGACTGATTACGGATTAACTAGTAGGATAAGTTAGGATTTTATCTTTCAGATGTTTAGAAGTACTATGATCAGGTTATATATAGTGTAGATAGCGCACTGAAGACTAGATATAAGCGTTACGGCCAGGTCCTTGAATACGCCTATGGAATTACCTAGTATCGCAAGTACCCTGATATATGCCTGGTGAATTGACCACCTACAGAAGTATGTGAATTGTTGAATATAATGGTAACAGGCCACATTTAAAAGGCCTCATAGTTCCTATGTGGATAGGCCGTTGAGATAGTTTTAATAAGAATAATAATCTATTCGTTTTGGTATTGTTTCATAAGAATATCTTACCTGATATTCTACAGTTAATGAGGGGATCTTTGGCGGTCAAACCGATCTGTGAGTTCAACACTGATTCTGCCTCTCTGATCACCTTGTGGAGGTGAGCGGCTGGATGTTGCATTGAATAAGGTATCCAATGTGCGCATATCGGGGCCCTGGCGCTCGCAATTGATATCGGTTGATACCGAGCCAGTTATCAAGGAGCCACTATCTTCGTTAAAGTAGCCTCCTGTGCCGCTTACAGGTCATTCTCGAAGTTCCCTGGTTGCAGATTCACCGTATACCCTTCGCGCCCTGGTGATCGGACTCATCCAGACAAACAATGCTATCTCGGAGCTCCCTAGGGATGAAGTCATCGCTCCAATCATCTATTTGCTGCGCGGTTAATGGTTAGATCGTGTTAGAGACAGTTATGCTGTACGAGGTATTCTAAGGCCGCTAGTACCTTGGCCTTCCGCACAGATAAGAATGGCTTCAGGTCCGTGTCCAAGGGGCGTTGTTTTCCTATCCGGAAGACCTTGATCAGGTCATACAGTCTCAGTTGTGGACTTGGTAGGATATCTAGCAGTGGGCCGGGGCCTTGGGGAATAACAATAAAGTGACCTCGAAGTGTATGATAATTAACAGAGGATGAGCGGCCACCTGGCCTCGGCTTCAGAATGACACCGAGAGGATGGGATCTTGCAATAAGGCACTCCTCAACTGGGGTTAGATCCTCAAGTGCATATAGATAGCGGTGGCACAGGGTCACACTAACTTGGTTCTTCGCAGAATATTTGGATATCGTGTTTCGGATAAGGGCATTGTAGCAGGACGAGCAAAGGTTGCAGTGGCTCACATGCAGGCCACAAATATCGAGATCATTTTCTAGTGGCTGCAGAACAGGATCATTCTTCTCAACTTCATAGAGGCCAGAATTTTGGACGATTGTGCCGCAGGAAGCACACACATCTCTTTCAGCCGCGGCTGTGAGGTCGTTTTTGTGACGGGCGACCGATTTGCGGGTAGGAGTGGGACAAAATGTAGGAGGAAACATTATGTCTATACAGTATCTACTGCCTGCCCTTTTGCCTATGTATCCTTACCTAGTTGACAGGTCCTCTACCCTGAATAGTATATATGTTTGACAGTATAGGTATGGATATGGCGTTCCGGACGAGATTATGCCTCACTTAGGAAGCACCTGCATATCTAGACGTTCAATAATTAGACCCTAACAGGAAATAGAATTTTGATTGATTGATTGATTGATAACAGGAACAAAAAAGTATCTCACATGTGTGCTAGGAAATAGACAGCCTTAACCTTCCCATCCGCGATTTAGACCGGAGAAATGAAGAAATGGAAAGCACGAGGTGCATCAGGGCTGCGCATGAAGCCGACAGAGATCATTTTCGGCCAGAAGTAAGTTGACCAAACCAAGAATTTCCAAAGAGCAAATAACAACATTTGAGGACTTAGAGCGAAACCCAATATACTGAGGATGCAAAAAAAAAAAAAAAAAAAAAAAAAAAAAAAAAAAAAAAAAAAAAAAAAAAAAAAAAAAAAAAAAAAAAAAAAAAAA